TCATTTGACTACTACACGGTGTCGATACTACCCAACGTAAATCGTTCCGGACTTGTTTTTCATAACCATTTGGACTTGATTTCGTAGGAGAATGAGATGAGACATTTATCAGAATGGCTCAAAAAGGTAATATAATTGATTCGTTTAGAAAAATACATACACTAACTTCTACCTGAAACATTCTTTTTCATTCCCACATATCTATTTTGGCGATCGTGCCACCATAGTTCATATTTATCGGCATTAAATAACAAAAATGCCAGAAATATGCTCTAAATCTGCATTAGTGTCATTTAACTATGTTTAAACAAAAAATCACTAAATACAACGTGGAACAATATTCACTACATTAAAGATTGTGTTAATATTTTAACTATCTGTACCTTCAAATTTCCATAAATGACCGTAATGTTAAAGTTGGAGTTAACGACGGCGAATGGTCGTTATTCTGACACGGACTTGTCTTATAATCACTAGGTGAACGACTGCGAATTGTACACAACGTGATACAAACAACGATTGGGAATTGTCTTGTAATGGTATTTTCACGTTTCGTTGCTTGATGAATTGTCTATGCTTCTGGAAAAATTGCACTTAGTATGATTATGTTTTAGAGGAGTTCTGGTACTAAATATTCACACATTTTGTAATTTCAGTTCCCAGAAACAAGTGCCACGAATGCACTTTTAAAAGTGCAGATAAAAATATATTCTTTGAACAGTTCAAGAGGGACCACCCCTCCGATTTATTCAGGCTTGACGTCCCTTTTCGTGATAAAGGCATGTGGCGTTACAAAACACAGGATTATGGATTCCGGATGTGTGATAAATTAGGCTCAAAGCTGTCATTTGATGATGGTACCTCGATAAAGGAGGAAGAATACGTTGAACCAAGTCCTCTTCAGATTTTTAACAGTAAATAACGATTAAAACTAATTATTTCTTCTCAACTTTCACTTAACTTCTTGCTTAGCATTAATATAAGCATGGAAGTCAGTTTAAAGCCAATAAGGGCGTTTTAAAGTCTTATTTGAGGCAAACTTATGCTCACATTTTTCATAGGCAAATTAAAAATAGCGACGAGTGAAGTCCTTAAAAAAGCGAAGAGGCAAAACACAAGAAAAAGTAAAAATCAACTTTTCTCTCTACATGCATTTTTGCCCCTTGAAAGTATCAAGTAAAGAACATGTATCTGTAATGATTCACTAATTCAACCTTGACAAATATCTCTTAATACGTTTAATTAATGATGATCATTTAGATAGTATCATTCAGACAACTTCTTCCACTGTCATCATCCACTCAGATGATGATTTGTTGGAAATCTATAAAGTTTATGGAGCTGTTCCACACTTAAAAATGGTTCATTGTGTTCTACAAGTCAGAAACGTTCCAATAACACAAGTCAGAAACGTTCCAATAACAAGTCAACGTCATTAACTGGAATATTTAGGTCAAGTCCAAATCGTTATATCTAAAAAATGATCTTTCGACAATTGCTACTCATTTAAACCATTTTAAATCATGATTTTCGTTCACAATATGGCTACTTTCATTATGAATCGGTGTATTCATTGGATACAAGGCAGGCAGGTGATTATCAGCAAAGTAGGTGAAAACACTGGCAGAATCGCTCACATCCCGAAATAACAAGACTATAGCAAACGGTTCGTACAAAAAAGGCGTTTGCGGGTGCCTGAATATAGGGTATATAGTATGGTATGTTATCTAATTGTATTATATTTACATAGAGTCAAGTGAAAGCAATTTCATAACCAAATTTACAAACCTACCTCTACTTCTTTCCATAAATCAAGTCCCAATGGTTATGAAAAACAAGTCCGGAACGATTTACGTTGGGTAGTATCGGACACCGTAGATACTAAATAGTATGGCAAGAACATGCAATACCAAAGGATGTGTCTGGGTTTATGCCCTTTTGGTCCCTCAGTCAAAAGTATGTGAAATATGGTTTTTATTACTGTCCTAGTTATACTTGATAAGTATATTTATCTTTTCACGAGATTTGATGCATAAATAACCCCCTGCTGAGAGTCAGAATAAGTATCTTAACAACAAAAAATAGTCATTATGTATAATATATAGCTAGATCTACGAATTAGTCATGAATATTTTAAATAATTTAGCCTGCTCTGTCCAAATATGATACATCTTTGAATTTTTGAGAATACGAATGTCACTGGTGCCCGTTTATTGGAGAATACGGTTGTGAAACAATCAGTGGGCCATGTTACACTCGTTTCCATGACATTTCACAAGCGTATCCTCTGGGAAAAGATAAATCCTTCTCTTGCTCACTCTATGGGGGATCATATAAACTGAGATTTGGAGATCTTGTTCAGGTTAGCCATAAAAAGGTTTGGGATTTGTTTTTTTTCTACTGTGATATTAATGATTTGGCTCTAAGGCGAGAAATCTGTACTTTCTGATTGATATTCTATTATGAACAGTTACATTGCTAAAATAGCTCATGTTTAACATTTTTTGTTACATTACTATTAAATACTATCAGTTATCACACGTTTCAGCATGTGATACAGGAAATATTCCACGAAAGGTAATACTGTATCATCCACGAAAGCGAAGCTTGAGTGGTGATACATTGTTACCCGAGTGGAATATTTCCTGTATCACATAAGCTGAAACGTGTGATGACGATTTTATCACATGTCTAGGAATTTTGAAGCTTTTGATTTGGTCAGTTATGATTGTGTTCATTACCCTGTGTACTTCTAGTAACTATTATAACATACCTATGATGGTGTATAGTGCAAAGTGTACACAAGACAGCGGGCCAATATAAGTTTTGAAAAGCCCGCGCCCGCTAACTTTCTGATTGGTCAAGGCGCTGACGTCATAACCAATCAATCGAAGATAAAACTGCGCGAGCAATTTTTCTAAACTCTTTTCAATCATTTTCAAACCATTTGTTTGTCAATTCTATAAGAAAACGGTACTCTCTGACCAGTCTACATCACGATAGGTATGTTATAAATCGTTTATGTCACTATCGTGGTACATATGCCCTCGGTTCTCAGAAATCAATGTCCCTCCCAAGGTCGGGCCATATATCACTGAGACCTCGGGCATATATGCCACGATAATGACATAACCTCTAATTATAATGTTTGATTTCGCTTTGAAACAATGTGACGTCATATCGTTGTATTCGTACTTGTTTGTGAAATAGTATGACGTCATATTGTTTTCCTTAGCCAGAAGTCAAGGAGGATTGGCTCCCAGAATGCAACACCGATATTCTGCAAAACAATCACCTAGCGATAGCTTTGTTGGAGAGTATCGGGTCATTCTCCATGCAGTCGTACAAATTATACAGACACGAATAGCAAATGACGCATGCGTGGAGATTAAAGAATATCGAGTTGGAACCCTGGCTTCCAATCCTCCTTGGCCAGAAGTGATATAATCAGTGACGTCACATCGTTGCTATTGATCATCACTGGTTGCCTCTAGTAACGTGTGAGACGGCCGTGTGAGACGGGAAAACTCACACGGTAATCAACCAATCAGATAACTGGAATTTTACAGAGCATGTGATAAAGCATAAACTATTTTCAACAAACACAATTTCAAAAAGGATAATATAGAAGTTAACCTTTATTTTCCATTTTTAAGCAGCTGTGCCTCTCATGACTTTCCATCCTCCTAAGCAGGTGTCCAGAATACCAAGAAAGAAGATATTCTGGATTTTGAAGCCCTGTGATCGGAGGATGATGACTTTCCAAAACAGGTCATATTCGTAGCCTAAGAACCGGTCATGCTCCATACGTGGAAACTCAAGTAGCCATGGATAAATACTATTCTTTTTTCATTTTGATGAAAACTCTTGTAAAATGTTGGAATAGATTGTGTTGCCATTTGTTTGCAAGATATGATAAAGTTGCAGCAGTAATGGACAGAGTGAAGGGGGGAGGGGTGTAAATGCTATAGCCGCAGCGACACATCAAGCAATAATACATGTAATACTCTCCAAAGCAAATAATTTGAAATTGCAGCTGTTTCGCAGCGTAAACCGCATTCATTCAATATTGGTGATAAGATTGAACAAAAATGTGCTACCTCTAAACAAGCGGTGTGGATATTGATCCGCGGATATCCGAAAAGTGACGATATCCTCACCGCTTTATTCGAGGTAGCACATATCCGATAAATGTTTTCAATTTTATTTTAAATTCACAGAGAAAGTTTATGACTTTCAAAATGCAAAAATAATTTATATCGATCACCAATACTAGCCAATACTGAATGAAGGCTCTTTGCTATGGAGCAAGGATGAATGGTTAGTTGATTAGTTCGTCGTTAAAGAATGGATAATACGACTATAGACAAAATTTCCCTTTTATTAGGTATCCTCTACAAATGGATGACTATAACTGCGTATCCAACATGCCTTTAAGTTTAATAATGCCCGTTAATATCCGCACCTTGCGCACCCGCAACGCTTGTTTGCGTATAGCACAGTCTGTATAGTGTGCTATTACACGTCAATTTATACAAACGAAAACTTTGATAGCGAGATGATTTTTCTTAAATCATCCAAAATGGCCGCAATGGTTGAGCTAATGAGCTTTACATGTAGAATTAATTTAAAGAAGGTGTTGAAGTTCAAGCTATTGAAGCATTTTTTCTTAAAGTTTGCAGAGAAAATATTTTAGCATTTCATGAATGTATCAAAATTTATCTTTGAAAAGTTAAACTTAAAGTTGTTTTGATAAAAAAAAGTTGTAGGCTACTATACATAGAGAACAAGCCAGCCAGATGTATGCTAATAATATGGCCCCAACATTATGTTGTGGTTCAGTATGAATTAGTACTGTCGCATAATGATGGTAAACGAGTAAAAGTTTTAAACAACATGCACAAGTAGACAGGAAGTTTGAATGCTATATTAATGCCTCAATATTTCAGAAAAGCAATAAAATCAGTAAAACATTTTAAACACACCACATAGTCACATACATTGTGCTTCTCCACAGTTTAATCGTCAACATATGAATATCTGAAAATATACTTGGAAGGTTAATCATTGTAAAGAGGCAGATTTCGACATGAGTTTTCTCCATAAATGTGCAATTATAACGGGCTCCAGTAATGGAATTGGGAAAGCCACCGCTCTTCTTCTGGCCTCTAGGGGAGCAAATGTTCTGATACATGGGACAAAACAGGACGCGATCAACTCTGTCGTCCAGCAATGCAAACTGAGAGGGCGTGAAGGTGCAGTGTTCCCTAGTGTCAAAGGATTGATAGAAAATGAGGAGACATTGGCCAATATTGCCGAAACAGCTTCCAGTGAATTTGGCCAACTTGATGTTTTGATAAATAATGCCATAAGATCATCATTTCATGATCTTCGAAATGCTCCTATTGCAGATTTAGATGCACACTTTGCAATTATTGTGAAATCAGCAGTGAGGTTAAGCCAACTTTGCCTCCCTAACCTCACAAAATGCAAAGGCAACATTGTTAATATATCCAGTGTAGAGGCGCTGCGCCCGACAGATTTAAGACATTCATTCTATGCTATCAGCAAAGCTGCTTTGAACATGTTCACCCAATGTGCAGCCTTAGAATTCGCAGATGATGGAGTGCGTGTCAATGCAGTTTGTCCAGGTGCTACACGAACCGAAATACTCGAAAATATGGGGATGACAAATGAAGAAGAGATTAATGAACTTTGGAGTATGTTTGCTAAAATTGTACCAGTTAAACGTGTTGCTACTGCGGAAGAGATTGCTGGATTTATTGTATATATTGCATCATCCGAGGCAGCCATGATTAACGGTCAGTGTATCGCACATGATGGAGGGCTGACCCTTATTGGACTTCAAAAACATGTCATTGAAAAGGCTTCAAAGTGAATACTTTTACAACAAACTATTTTTATTAATCAATGGCACTTTGTGTATTAAATATTGATACTTTGACTTTATTAACTGAATTTTGAATTTCACTGGTGATCCACTCGATTACGCTGGTTACCGAAATGGTTCGTTTCGGTAACAAAATGTCGGAACATCGAAGGTATGATTTTTCTTTTTTCCTTATTTCACACGTTGTAGGCAGACTTCCCACGACATTTTTTATCACAAACGTACCATTATCATGTTTAAGAAAATGTACATATTTGCGAACAAGTAGTTCAGAAGACAACAGAATCGTCGATTTAATTCCTCTTACATAAACGGTAAGATCTGCACTTTTAACCGAAAGCGTTTATGTAACTTAATTGAGGAATTAAATCGATGATTTTGTTGTCTTCTGAGCAATTTTTTCGCAAACATGTACATTTTCTAAAACATATGATTTTTTTTAAATTAATTTATTTACATTGAAACATTTATACAATTTTTAGATAGTATACAATGGTTACATTGGTACTTATACAGGAATACAGAACTTATTGGTTATAGATTTTACTATTTCTTATTTTCCAAATTTCAAACTTGTGTTTAAACACTAGCTGGTTTCTATGGCATTTGCTCTCAAAATCTCCATCATTGCTATAAAATAAAATTTCTTGTTCAGAAAACTTTAAATTTTGAATATTTACATATTCCTTTGCATTCGTACAATTGACAAATAAGTGTTTATGACTTTCTACTTCAACATTGCATATTTTACAAATTCCATTTGACTTCTGAATTTTTTGTAATTTTTTTCTGTCCATGTAATGTGGCTCCATTAAAACATTTAAATATAAATTCTTTAACGTTATTACTAATGTCACATTTAAACAAGATCTTGTAAAAATCTGAGAAATCCGTTTGAGCAAACTGCTCAGACCAATACTCTTCTGATTTGGATTCTGTTAAACTGTTTTTTACAAACCCTTTTCTTATTGATTGCACATTGATTTTCTGTACAGGAATACCTAAAACATGTGATACTGATACACGTTTGTGAGAAAAAACGTCGTGGGGATTCTGCCTACAACGCGTGAAATAAGGAAAAAGAAAATCGTACCTTCGACCGTTCTGACATTTTGTTACCGAAACGAACCAGCGCAATTGAACGGATCACCACCAGGGATGACTCATAACTCCAAGGTTTTATTTGACGTTTGACTTTTGAATCTAGAGCTAGAGTTACATATGCGGAAACATTCTTTTATACGTTATGTGGCTCTTTCATATGAGACTAAATAACATATGGAGTGACTTGAGATGAGACGTGATGAGCACCACGAATCTCAATATATGTGTACACGTACTGATCTTAAACTAGTACTGATAATATATAGACAACCTTGACACAATTAATTTACTTTCCAAACAAAACTACTTCTAGAATATGTAAAGATGATTGTACATACATACCAGGTGTACCAGGTATATCGTGGGCGAAGCCAGATTTCAGTCAGGGGGATGCGATTGCCAAACATTTGAAATTTTTATTTTTTTATTTTTTAGACCATTTTCCAGCTAGAAATACGTGGGATAAGCGAAGCAAAAAGTTTTTTTTAAAGATCTGTTTTGATTTTTACAAAATTTGATGTAACTTCCTTCACTTAAAGGGTGACGCATATCGTTTAGCAAATCGAACGCTCGTTTCTGGTGTTGCTCACCGTTTAGTATAAAAGGCCCGATCCCGGAATAATACTCAAGGGTTTACAGGTTCGAGGTTCTAACTGTTATATAGCATAAGTATATTATAGATCGTCACACATTTATAAAAGGGTGATTTTTATTTTGACAAATCAATTCCACATTTATGGGTGAAGTTTCAGGATCTTCTATTTGTGTATAATAAGGAAAAATTGGCATCTAAATTTCCCCATAACGTAATAGCACACAGCTTGGCATATGAAATATCCTACAAATGAAACAAAGTAAGACAACCCGGTTTCTAATACAAGGATTTATATTGGCTGTTGTACATGTATTCTTTGAACGCAATCACTCTTTGGATAACGTTTTCAAAATCATTATAAACGGATAACTTTATCTCAAAGACAATTTCAATAAACTGGATTTTACAGAACTCCCCTTATTTCTTAAAAATGGACTGATCCAGTTGATTCGCCTGGAGCCGCCATATTGTTTTTATACGGGATGCTAATCGGAACCCTTTAAATTGAGCTAGAAACTTCAAATAAAAAAAACATTTTAAAGCTCTTTTCTTCTTCTATCTAATGATTTTATTTTTTATGGGATATGGGGGGTTGCTGTTTTAAGACAGTTTTATTGGGCGCCCTAGCAATGGAGTTGATTTGCGATTCCTAAATAATTGTCATACTTTTCTTAATTTTGAGAATAAAATCCCATAATGATGGGCTTTTTGGTCACGTTTCCAGCTAGAAATACGCGTCATGCTTTCAAACCATGCATTGCCGATAGATAGCCTTCATATCAATGGGTTTAATATGTATTTCAAAACATTTTGAACACTCCATTGCCCATGTATAACTTTAAAGTTATAACTTTAAAAGGTATTTAAACGTAATTATCAATTTGTAAAAATATACTTTAAATGTTCATCTTGTGAATAGATGGCAATTTAAACATGAGCACAAATGTGCAGTTATAACTGGCCCTAACAATCAAGGTCTGTCGTCCAATCTCTCTTGATTGTAATTATTTTTTGTTTCATAGAGTTGTCATATTTTAGTTTGAGGTTGTACTGATCTACATAACATGAATGATATATTAAAAGCATCACTGTGTCTTGTGTAGGTTTTGTGTCTGTTGAATTTCAGCGTGACATGCACCTCGGATCCAAATACATAAAGACATTCATGATATACAACCCCGGGTATACAACATTCAAAATATACAAGGATCACTCCATAACAATTTCTATCCCATGGATTCTCAATATATATGGAGAAAACAACACAAGATAATTTTGGTATGCACCACTAAAATCGTATCCCACTGGTATCATACAAATATTTAATTCTACTAAGGTGAATATCTGTGTACCTGATATTCCACGAAGCCCAAGTTTTCCATACACACAATCAGAAATGCTACACTTTATATATAAACTTTCATCTGGATAAAAATTGAACATCTTTGAGTCACTTCGAGCGCTGGTGTGCAGATGACAGCACTGGCAGATCCAGGGGAGGGGGTGGGCCCAGAAATACATTTAGGGCCTCAGAAAATGGGCCTTGTGTACATAAAATGGGGCTTAATTTTTTGCTGCCTCAAAATTTGCCCCCCCCCCCCCCCCCCCCCCTTCTTGTTAGATTCTGGATCCACCAGTTGACAGGATGAAGCTTTCTTTGAAGAAGCTAGGTTAAGCGAATAACGCAGATGGGAGTAGGTCGTTACCAGTTTCAGCACCAGGTAGCTCGTTCGGGTCAGATAGCATGGCGGGTATAGTAGAAAGTTCCCTTTAACATAAATTATATCTGTTTTAGTGGTTCAATTTTCATATAACCCTTATGTATCTCATAGTTATCCAAATCATAATATGTCCAGTAAAAGAAAATGTTATCTGACCAAGACAAGAAAAGATATTTCACTTTTTGTGATTTTGTAATATGGGCTCTTTGGAGAATCAACCCGAACTAGAAGTCACATTTTCAAAAATAATTAAATTTTCAAACTTGATAAACAATTTTCAAAACCATATTTCGAGATTAACTTTTACATGTAGATTTCAAATATGACATCACTTTGACTGGATTTTGAATATTTAATGACATAAATCAAGATTATTTCTATTGCATCTAGTCTAGTCAAAGGGTATCTTTGAGTATCTAATACAACCTGGTCTCTTTGATCACATCATTGACCAATCAGAATACATTATAGAAATACCCTCATTAAAGCTCAGAGGGGGAGAAACACCAGGGTTCAAAGATGACATACGCTTATAATGTAAATCTGTATTGAGATGACATCGTCGCTGATTGGTCAAAAGTCGACAAACAAATGACTTCATCAATGGCGGTTTCAAAATTTTCAAAATATGCTTCGAATAATATTACCTTCATTTCTGGCGTGTTAACCAATATCATAGCTTCTCATTTCACATCAAGATAAAAAAAAGGGGTACGGAATATGCCTATATCAATTAAAACATCCCATCGAAGTGTAGTATTTGATAACTAGCCGATGAAAATTCGAACGAACGAAGGTGGTAAGCAAGAGAAGTAATTATGTCTGTCATCTTTAAACTCTGGGGCTTTCCCTCCTCTTATTAAAGCTTAATATAACCAGATTAAAAATAGATACAAATGCATTTCTGAATATATTGTATATATATTTACTTATTTTATATATATTTAATAAATATAGTGTATACCTTGTAATTGCACAAAGTGACAATGGACCCTCTTCATATAAGTGATGTGTAAAGTATTAGAGATTCAAATTATATAAGGGCTCAGGCCCGTAGCCGGGGGGGGGGGGGGGGGGTTCGCAGGATTCGGGCGAACCCCCCCCCCCCTGGCCAACATTTTATTATTGATTTTATTATTGATTTTAGCCATATTTGGGCCAACATTGTCAAATGTGAACCCCCCTGGAAATTTTTGAAAACTGAACCCCCTTGGCAAATCCTGGCTACGGGCCTGGGGCTGTTCCATTTAAATGGTAGAGTGGTCATAAATATATAAGAATGTGAAGGAGGTGGTAAAGATCAATGTGCCACAAATGTGGGGGATGTAAAATAAAAAGTGATTGTGGGGAGTATCAACATTTAACATTTGAATCACAAAAAAACTTTCAAAATTTTAACCTTTAGGTCTGCCCATTCTGACATTTTTTAATGAAATAGCCCAAACTCCAAAAACTGAATTATATAATATTGATATAAGCCTACACTGTGTATGTTGTAAATAATTGCACATTCCCAGTATGATGTATGTGTCTGGCCATTACATTTGAAAAATAACCTCTATATAGTAATGACTGTACATTGAAAATTAATACTTTATAATAGCATTCAAATAATAATATTCATTATCCAAACATAAACCCTTTCTTATCTCTATGTCAAATGGTCGGATAGATATACATATTTTTTTCTTGAGATGAATTCTATTTCTATGTTCTCTTATTATGAAATAGACCATTGTGTATGTATGCTACCATCTACTGTTGCAATACCCTACAACCAAGATTATCCATCCAAATACTGTATTTTAAAATACTGTACTGTTATATTGGGCTACCCACATCTTGGCAAATGTCAAATGTAAAAGAAAAAATTAACTTATATACTTTAGACACAGCAATTCATATAATACTATACTAATATATGGTACTACTGTACCCAGGTAAATATGGTATAGACTAGACACTCTTTCAAAAAATTTTGTATGCAACAGTGCAAATTCAATTTTACTAATTGTCATTTGACTACTAGATAGTATGGCAAGAACATGAAATACCAAATTTACAAGGGCTTCAAAAGCAGCATGTCCACTGTTAAAGTCAATATTGTATATCTAAACTCGTTGTGATGCACCCTGTTTTAAGTGAGATTCACCATTTCAAGCTTGATGCACCATGTTCCAAGTCTTATCACCACTTAGCTACAGGGTAGGCTGTTCCAATACCCATATCATGTGGATAACAATGCAATTCTATATTAAACAGATCTCCTATCTTAATGGGAACGCGTGAACCTTTCCCAGATAAAAAGACAATGGTGTATAGGGCCAGTTCAAACTCTGGGCTAGTTCCAATGAAACTGGATCCTATGGGTTTACCTTGACCATTTTTCCAACTGAACTGAAGAGTCAGCAGTCTGGGGTCTTCACCTTCCTCCTGCAAATACATGTAAAAGGCTGCAGGGTGTGTGGGCCACAAAAATTGAGTTGATCCTCTTTCAACCTGATTATGGGATTTGCTAAACTAGGCAAAAAATAAATAATCAGATTTTAAATCATTGATTTTCAATAAAATCACACGAAAATAAAATACTCTCGTTTTCAAGCATTTCGTTCCATTTGTGCACTTACCTCACTCACTGTGCCTCTCCTAAAGTAGCCTTTGTAGTCAATGTTACCATGTTTCTCCTGCAGGTAGAGCTGCACCCAGTTGTGGAAACCAATCACTCTATGACCACGTGTCTCACCAACAAACACATGTTCAAAACTGCTCGAGTCATTTTCCCTACAAATATCACAATACTTCAACTTTAAGTCAGTGAAACTATCACAACATTGAGGCAAAGTCCCTGCAAATATCAGAACTCTGTTCAAATAATCAAAGCCCTTATAAATATCAGAGCACATGTTAGCACATCCAGATCAGATCTCTGTTTTAAGTCATTCTTAATATCAGGACATAGAGCTATCAATTTCAGGATACTAATACATGTAAGTGTCAAGGTACCATTAAATATGAGGATATGTGTACATGTACATTGAAATTGAATTAAAATCCATGTTGAGAAGCTGTCAAGACAAATTGGCTGAGGCAAGGCTAGATCATTACTCACAAACAGCATTTAAAGCATGATAATAATAAACGAATAAAAATTTCTGAGCTGTCATATTCTTGTTTGGAGTTGTTCTGAGTGAAAACATACCTAAGTTGATATCAAAACTGATCTGTTTTGCACTTAAAATTTCAATGGCACATTTAACACCAGACGCATTTAAAACCTACATGTATGTACATGTATGCATCCTTATTGTATTTGCTGTATCAAAGCTAGAACGTACTCATCTTCCCTAGATCTCTTATAAAGTTTGAACCAGATGTCATAAAGCTGTTGTCTGAATTCATCAGGATCTTCAGGCGATTGTTCCAGACCAACCAGATATTGGTGGGCTTCCTTCATAAGGTCTGTTTCCAATATCTAAACACAAAAATTAAAATTCATTTATTAAAACAGATAAATTTAGAAAATCATGATAGACCCGATTACAAAGTATATTTCCGACTTTAAGTGCCCAGCTGCATTCAATTCATAAACTTCCAAAAGGCTTTGAAAGCTTCATTTAAGATTACTACTGAGATTACTTATTAGTATGACTTGTGACCAAATCGTAAGCTACGACGGTTCCAAAAATGGAGAACAACTTACTGCATCTAAGAACTCCCAGTTTTCGGCTTCCTCCTCCTCCGTGATTACCTCACCTCTCCCAGTTTCACTCTCATAGTTGTCTAGTAGCTTTCTAAATGCTGAAACAATAATCATATACAATATACATGTACTTTCAACAAGACGAATGATTGCACTTTTATGGAGAGCAAATGGCCAGATTGCAAAGTACATGTACATCTACATGTATCATGCCCTAGAACTAGTTCCCTTTTGCAGCTATAAAAATTCAATGGATAAATCAATAGGGGGCCTACTGGTTTATTTTATCTGAGAATAATAAGATTTCAAGTTTAAAAAATAAATGGATGAAATTTTTTAAAGGAGGAGGGAAAGTATCGCAACAGATTTCAGACAGTCATATTTTGGATTTTGGCTATTTTCTGAGGATTTAAACAGGTGCATTTTATGTTAGGCCAATGCATCATCTCCAGGAAAAGCACTCATAGAGATGATAAAATAATTTTGACTTTGAGACAGGGAAGATGCAAACAACCCACCCACATGTTTTTTCTGAAATGTTGTCCTGATTTTCAACCCCTTCCATCCCTGCTTTTCCAATTTTTGTTGCATCAATATGTTGCATTTTGACACACAATTAAACCCTTTAAAGAAGTAATTCCTCCAGGGGTTTTAAAGATTTCTATTATAGGTGACCAAAATTAGCTGAAAGCAATGGATCGCATGATTTTTCCCTATGGGAAAATAACATTGGGAATATTGTTTTTCTTTTTATCGAAGATGAATCACTTATTCCTTTAAAGGGGTTAACTGTGCCTTTAAATGCAATATATTGATGCAAAAAAAATGTTATTTGACAATTCACTGATGAGGGTCATCTCTATATAAACTTCCATTGAAGGTGAGGTTATCTTTGAACTCTGGGGTTTCCCTCCTCTTCATTCTTATCAAAGAATATTCATTGGTTCCATGGGAATTATTTTGTCATAGTTAAAGCGGCTCTAAGGTCTGTGGAGAGAAAAATGGAGAAATTTTACCTTTTCTGAGCTATCAGGGTGAAGTTTGGTCCAACATCTTCTTCCTTATTCCTATTTTATAAAAATGTATGCATATGGCAATATTCATCAACCAGTAGAACTGGCAAATCGTTTAGAATCTACAATTCCATACAAGGAGTCCCACTCATAGATTTTTCAAATTCTTTCCAAGTCGACGTCGAAACACCTAGCGGGTGAAATTGAAACTAATTTTTCTGGCTGCTCGAATCGATAAAATCTCTGATAGTGTGAGTCTTTTTATGAAATCTTTCTGATAGAAAACACTTAATTAATATTAGAAAGCATGAAATGTTGAATCCGAAGCGTAATCTGAAATAAAAGTGAAAAAACATTGCACGGACGTCAGAGAAAAACTTCCGGTTTAATAAAAAATGGCGGACGTCGAAGGAGAAATTATGACGAAGAATTAGAGGATTTTCCTTTGCCATTATCGATCGTTATAAGGTATGTGCACAAATTCTAGTAGCATACATGGAAAATAGATACATTTTTAAAGGCAACAACATATTCAAAGCTTTCATTTTACGATAGGCCCAGGATCATTGGATACGACTCGGCAATCGATACTCCCACTTTAAAGAACAACAGATTCATAAATCTAGATTTAAATAGATTCATGAATTCATCTGAAGAATACGTAAACAGAAATGCACCAGACTCATAGATAATGAAGAGGCAATGACATGTTCATGTACGTACCATTGTATGTTGGTCTGCTGAAAACATCATCTTCTGCAACCCATCTGAAAAGGTTATACCATGCACGGTCAACCTCAGACATCTCCCTTGCATTTTTAACATAACCTGCAAATAACCAATAAGAAAAAAAATCATTATGGTTATTTGAAGCAATGCTCTACAGTTCAATGTCAAAATGTCAGAAAAATATGTTTTCATCAAAATATCAGGTAATCTGGAACTAGAATCCTGATGATTGTAAAAAAATCCGAATTTAAAACAGTATGATAATAAGACATACATGACATAAAGGAAGTGAGATTTTAACTCACTTTTTTCTTACCCTGTTTGTCAATATCATATTCTATGCCTGACTCACACCGGTTCACATCCATGTCCCATAACTTTGTGATAAGCTCTGATAGTTCTTCATCTGGTTCATATCTACAACAAATACAAGAAGTTGGATTAACTCTGGAAGACCAATCAAATGTGACAAACTGATAGACCAATCAAATGTGATGAACTCAATTAAACAAGTCAAATTACAGGCAAAATATGATGAACTCAGATAGTCAGATCAAATGTAATTTACTCGATGAAATGTGATCAACTCATTAGACAAATCAAATATGAAAAACTCAGAAAGACATTTGATACCAAGACAGGTCAAATGTGATTAACTCAGATAGACAGGTCAATAATGATTAACTCATATAGACCAATCAAATGTATCAATTAAGTTAGCCAAGTCAAATGTGATAAATTCAGATAGACAGGTCAAATGTGATGAACCAATGGCGTAGCGTCATATACGCAAAAAACGCCATTGCGTACTATCAAATTTGAAAGAAAAATGATTTTTTATAATGAACTGCCCTGCACTTTAAAAATACTGGATAGATCTTAAATAGTAAGATAATAGTAACAGTAACAATCATATATGAAAAACAAAATAAATGATTTGTTCTAATCCTGTGTTGTTTGTTTTTTAATTGTGTTGTAATAATCTAAATTTTCTCTCTGATCGACAATGGACGAGGACTGGTTGAGTGCCTTGGCGTTGCTTCATATTCACAGAGACTGTTCCAAAGATACAAATGTCGAAAGAGTCATTGAAAAATTCAGCAACTCCAAAAACAGGTGTGTGAACCTTATATTATAATGAATGTGATACGTGTTTAATATGACAGTTTAACAGTTATTATACTTATAAACAATGAGTTTACAGTTATAAACAATAAAATGACGCCAACGAGTTTTATTTCCAAGAAGCACCTATTTCGTCTTGCCATTATTTTTGAAACAGGTTCATGTAATCATAAAATATTGGATAAAATAATAATTTACATTTAATTGGTCCAGATTAAGTCGGAATTTCGTATTTCAAACCGACCCAGGACGCTTCAAATGCAATCTCATTTTAAAATTTTCTTGGGGGAGAACCCCCCCCCAAACCCCCCTCGAACTCGTTCACTTCGCTCACTCATGGCATACTCTCACAAAATACCCACGCTACGCCTCTGTGAACTCAGATGGACCAATCAAATGTATCAATTCAGTTAGCCAAGTCAAATTTGATAAACTGACAGGTCAAATGTGATACACTAGATGGACCAACCAAATGTAATCAAACACAGCCAAGTCAAGTGTGATAAACTCAGATAGACAGGTCAATTACATATGATAGACGCTGACAAATTAATATATATTCTGACAATCCTCATGAGCAACTTAATAATTAAATATGTATACTCTAAGCTATATGCCAATTGTAATTCAGCTTGTGAAAACGTTCTAGTTTAATGACATACAAGCATTACATGTGTATAGGGTAGGGCTATTTTATTATTCAAGAAATATATGAATGACATTGAACCTTGAAGTAAATAGATAACTGAAGAATCAAACTCCTTATCTTCAACCAGCATAATATAATGGGATTTATAAACTTTAGAATTAACACTACTTTCAACAACTCAAGAGGTGTAAAAAATATTAAATGACTTTGGTCACAGACGTTATTTTCAGAACATGGCACTTTGGGTTAATAGAAGAATTAATACTTAACAATTATTTATGAAATAATTTCATAAAAGGCACTCCTGACCTTGATTATGAATTCAAGATTATTTGACTCCATGAACACTTGCTGATGAATACTTTTTCGTAATTTTATCCGCTTTCTTCTTTAATGGTTGCTTGTTGTCAAAAATTCTACAGAAAAACAGCAAATAATTATACTCCTCATCGCATTTAATTTTTTATTTGACGATTTGATGTAGCATGTATGACACATGAAAAACTCACCTTTTAGCCATATCTAATTGTAATATTACACTCCTTAAATGTAACTGTTGGATGGAAACAACTGCCATACTGTACTTCTACTTAATTTGGCGGCAGTTTTAATTTGCCGAATTTGCCAAATTAAGTGGCTGCCAAATTCCCTGGTAATTTTAGTAGTAGTACCATGTAAATTAGAACCATTAATACATTGTAATATTGCAAGAGTCTGCCAAATTAGTAACTGCCAGATGTTCAAAACAGCAAATCCGCCAAAATAAGTAGCGCCAAATTAAGTAGAAGTACAGTATAGGAATATAATATACCAGGTTAGGTATCTTATTTTATACAGGATTGGTGTGGGTTCCAGGATATTATCTAAGATGCATTGAATTAAAATGAAACCCCTATTTGTTTTCTATTGATCACTTATTACATGTAATATATTCCTATCGGGCGTGCTAATCCACTAGAAAGTTTGATTTGTTCATTCTATAATCAGGCCTCCTAGACTTCCAACAACGCGAACATCAGTTCTGATACCGCGAACTACGTTCCTTGCACTCGAACCACGAATCTCATATCGCGAACGTGAAATCTTATGTCGCGCACCACCATTTCCTTGTTTCCGAACATATTTCTTGTACCTCGCACAGAGATCCGTTACCGCGAACAATTTGTACATAATACATCCGGGTGTTTGGGATTCCAAGTTACATGTATATACCATGCAACGGATTGAAACAAGGAAACGAAATTCAGTTTCTCCTCCGCTTTCGCCGGACTTTCGTTCCTTTGAAAAGCATGCAAGATTAACATCCACGCCCCGAGTTGGCAGGGCTTTTAAATGATGTGTCAAAGGACAGCACTGCGTCCCACAGTCATTCATTTTTGGGATCAGAGAGTATCTGCGCACGGTGTGGTGTAATAGGAGATGTCAACAACAACGAAAGTGTAGAGGTGTGTGATAACTGTGGTTGGACCAGAAACTGTCTTGACACTAGTATATCACACGCTTGCACCGATGATGATGTTCCCGACATCCATTTTTGTGACTCATGTGGATGGCAGAGAGACTCAGCTTAGATCTAGGTAGATCTACCGTTTTTGTATAGTTAATCTTTTTTCTTATAATGGTTTAATTAGGTGCCATGGTAGTTAACAGGAAATGACAAAACAGGAAGTGACAAAACCATGCTGGATTTCAAACATTTTTTGAACCAAGATATCAGAGTTCTGCTTTGACTTCCAGTCAGTTTAACTAGTTCCACATACCATTTACATGACCATGATCACAATGACCATGGTCAGAATGACCCAAGACATGATAAAATTAATTTTTCAGCCCTCTGAAATTTGTGACTGAAAAATATATAAAAGTAGGAGCTTGGGAAAGGTCACTGAACAGAATCTCTTGCATTTTTCAGAAAATGTGCCTAATATATTGACGTGTCGCAAAAAGGTCGCGCACGCATTGTTACACATTTTAGCTTTTTAACACCACAGAATGTGACGTTTTTTGAGAAAAATGTACACATATGGAAATCATTTCGTCCTCCACATTTGCCTCTATATCTCAAAATATGTAAGGTGAATAACTCTGATATCGTATATGTATTAACAATGGGATAGGAGCATCATAAAACACGAATCAATTGATATTTTAGGTGAAATAAATATACGTGTTGCTGTGCTTGAAAATAGGCGAATGGCGTAAATTAGCCCTATTTTAATGAATTTTGAAAACCTTTCGTCCTCCACTTTTCCACATACAACAGAAAACACATACTTTTGCGAACAAAATCAACTAAATTTATTAATAAACTAGAGTTTAAGAGCAAAATAATCAGGTATGATTTATTAAAAATTGATCTCGCATTTTTTGTTTAATGTACACCTGAAAAGTTGAAGATAACAAAAAATGAGTATTTTTCAAACTCTATGACGTCACAATATGGGACGCTAATGTCCATCTACCTTTATCAAGACAAAAAATAAGTATAATAGTCATATATTGTTTGAGTTATAAGCGTTTAAAGACGAAAAATAATTCAAAATGTAACATGTCAACAGGGGATATTTGCCAGATGTTTTGGTAAAAAACTCTTTTTTTAAAAAGAACGCGCAAGAATCGTGAATGGAGTGTAGTTGATCTAAAAACTTCATCGAAACAGCTTTAAAATGATATATAACTTTAATTAGAATATTATCTTATAATCCGGGGAATCAAAGTTACATTCACGCGATACCCTTAAAAAACAAATGCGCCACCTTTTTGCGACACGTCATTGCTCTCAGTGAAACAATATTGGGAAATTTGATATCATTCGTTGAAAAAGAAAAGAATGAAACAAACTGAATTGAAAAGCGATATTTTTCCTTTTCATGACCGCCATTTTTCAGACAAGTTTCTAAAATTTTAAAGATTGTATCATTTAGAACAATATATTGGGCACATTTTCTGAAAAATTCAAAAGATCCTGTTCATTGACCTTTCCTATGCTCCTACTTAAAGCTATTTACATTGACCTTTTCAGAGGGCTGAAAAAGTTATTTCATCATGTCTAGGGTCATTCTGACCATGGTCAGTGTGATCCTGGTCACACTGCATCATGCGACCTTAAACTACAAGGTTTGCTTTTATACAGTACACCTACATTGTAGTAATCAGTTATGGCTGTATTCTGTGTAGATGCACTGGCCCGCCCTTCCCTCTGAGATGGGCCCAGAAAAAAAGGGTCCGACATTTTAGCGCTCCACATGTCTTGGGTCAGATATCGTCCTGGTTGCTGAAGTCAGGAATATTTTGGGAACATGGAGCAAAACTGCCCTCATAATAATTTGAATGTGCAGAGGTTTTTCTAATCTGTCAATCATCAAACGTTCATGTTCCATCTTATGAAGGGTATCTCACATTTTCTGTGATTTTTCAGAGTGTTCGAAAATAATGTTGAGAGTAGGGCAAAATGGCCCATGGGTGGGGCAGAACAGCCCACACTGAAAGCTTCGGTTTTAAAACCAAGATTAATTAACTACAGGACTCGTCAACACACATTTATCTCAGACGGTCAAAGATTAGACAGATAGAATATTCTTATATTCCACAATATTAATAGTTAATTCCACAAGCCGTAATGGGGGGGGGCAACATTTTAGTTAAGTTTTCATGGCAAATGGTAGCATTTTCAAATTATCAGTAGCTGGAGCTACAGATATAGCACATCAAGTACTCTATAAAATCAGGAATATTGTACATAGGGTAACTCATTTCTTGTTGTTATTATGCACCCCTTTCACTGAAAATGTCAATGCGCGTGATTTCAAGGTAGTCCCAATAATTTGTGTTTCCTAGAGCTTGAAAATACTGTTATCGTCAATGAGTGGATGTTCATTCACATGCATGAAAACTGGGAAAATATTTCTTCCGAATTCCATAGGCTATGAAAACGCCTCCTTGGAATTTTGCTTATGCGTAATAATACGAACAAAGTTACGGATTTTTTTTCGATCAGATGCGTGGTTCGCGGTAACGGATCTCTGTCCGCGGTACAAGAAATATGTTCGGAAACAAGGAAATGGTGGTGCGCAACATAAGATTTCACGTTCGCGATATGAGATTCGTGGTTCGAGTGCAAGGAACGTAGTTCGCGGTATCAGAACTGATGTTCGCGTTCTTGGAAGTCTAGGAGGCCTGATAATTAAATTGTGTAAGATACCCATTTGAAAGAATACAGTCCATCAAAATCCAGCCCCCCGATCAAAATAGCAGTTACAGTGAACCATACATGTTTTTTATGTACACTGTGCATGTACATGTACAGTTCGAACATGACTTTATTGCGCCTTCTACAAAGTCAACAAATATTTCACCCAGTAATAGTATTTGTCGATACAAAACCTGGCAATATGAGTAATATGTGACATCATAACAGCGGGCTGTAGTAATCACGGGTAGTATCTAAAGCCCCGCTATGATTTAAAAGTCGCGAGCAAGTTCCCGCTGAAATCGCGAGGAATAAAAAGAAGTCATGGGTTCTTTTTTGTGTTCTTGAATTGTATGATTTACAAAACGTTTTCTTTTATTTTTTCCCAATGCTTACATGGTATTGAGACTAAAAAAGCAACTGCTGGAAAAAATGTATCACGAGCGGTCGTTCTGTGGTTCGTTATTTGTCAATTGAAGAGAGAAAGTATCATTTTGAATCTTTATCTGTATATTTCTATACGTTATTGGTGAAGAACGATGTTGTCCTGTGGTTGAAATAACGATAGTGGTATGAAATAAAGATGTACGAGTTTCACTTCCTAAAGCTTTACAGAACATTTTATATTTAAATATCATATCCCTCAAGGCCCCGCTTCTAGCAGGAGCAATTAAGCAAAGATCCCGCTGAAATCAGGAGGAGGCCCCGCTGAAAACATGAGGAGGTCCCGCTGAAAACAGGAGCAAGTGTCTCTCAAAAATGGAGTGAATCCCGATTATACCCTGAAAATCTCCCACTTTCGTACCCACCTTGACTCACTATTGTACCCAGTTTGATGAATACATTATTTGTCAATACAATTCTCAATAACAGAAAACACAACTGTTTAATATAGTTCATATTATGATACGTTGTTATGGAAAACTGCAGTATCATATTTCCATGCCATTTTACAGAATAAGAAAGATCATCTGTGAGAAATGTGATGAGTATTAGATCGGACGAAATGTTAAACATTCAACCTCATTTTCATAATTTGAAGTAATATAAGTTATTGAATGAGAAATATAGGATATATTGTGCTCAAAAAATTCTGTATTTGCACGAGATGAAATCAAGTGGAAATACAGCATATCAAGAGCACAATATATCCTATGTTGCGCTTCAAATCGTTGTATAACGTTTTTTATCGTGTGATCTTACTACATAGTCCATAGGAAATATTCTGTATTCTCTGTATTGCAACTGTCCCCTCTATTCAATCTTTGAGTACAAGTCGATATTCAGTAAGATACACTAATAAGCCTGCGTTTAGGTCAACCTAAAATGATTTAGTCAGAATAATGTTTATGAATATTATTCCTATATCAATCTCCTGTTGCTTACTTGCTTGCTCGCTTCCTCCCTTCCTTGCTTCTTTGCTTCCTTCCTTCCTGGCTTCCTTCCTCGCTTCCTCACATCCTTCCTTCCTTGCTTCCTTCCATCCTTGCTTCCTTCCTTCCTTCCTCGCTTCATTCCTTCTTTGCTTCCTTGCTTCATTCCTTCCTTGCTTCCTCACTTCATTCCCTCGCTTCCTCCCTTCCTAGCTTCCTTCCTTCCTCACTTCCCTCTATTCAATCTTTGAGTACAAGTCGATATTCAGTAAGATACACGAATAAGCCTGCGTTTAGGTCAACCTAAAATGATTTAGTCAGAATAATGTTTATGAATATTATTCCTATATCAATCTCCTGTTGCTTACTTGCTTGCTCGCTTCCTCCCTTCCTTGCTTCTTTGCTTCCTTCCTTCCTGGCTTCCTTCCTCGCTTCCTCACATCCTTCCTTCCTTGCTTCCTTCCATCCTTGCTTCCTTCCTTCCTTCCTCGCTTCATTCCTTCTTTGCTTCCTTGCTTCATTCCTTCCTTGCTTCCTCACTTCATTCCCTCGCTTCCTCCCTTCCTAGCTTCCTTCCTTCCTCACTTCCCTCTATTCAATCTTTGAGTACAAGTCGATATTCAGTAAGATACACGAATAAGCCTGCGTTTAGGTCAACCTAAAATGATTTAGTCAGAATAATGTTTATGAATATTATTCCTATATCAATCTCCTGTTGCTTACTTGCTTGCTCGCTTCCTCCCTTCCTTGCTTCTTTGCTTCCTTCCTTCCTGGCTTCCTTCCTCGCTTCCTCACATCCTTCCTTCCTTGCTTCCTTCCATCCTTCCTTCCTCGCTTCATTCCTTCTTTGCTTCCTTGCTTCATTCCTTCCTTGCTTCCTCACTTCATTCCCTCGCTTCCTCCCTTCCTAGCTTCCTTCCTTCCTCACTTCCCTCCTTTCTTTCTTGCTTCCTTCCTTGCTTCCCTCATCGCTTCCTTCCTCGCTTCCTTCCTCCCTCCCTTCCTTGCTTCCTCGCATTCTTGCATCCTTCCTTCCTTCTATCCTTGCTTCCTTCCTTTCTTGCATCCTCCCTTCCTTGCTTCCTCCCTTCCTTGCTTCCTCACTTCCTTCTTTCTTCGCTTCCTTGCATCCTTCCTTCCTTGCTTCCTCGCTTACTTCCTTCCTCGCATCTTTCCTTCCTTGCTTCCTCATTTCCTTGCTTCCTCCCTTCTTTGCTTCTTTCCCTCCTTCTTTCCTTGCTTCCTCGCTTCTTTCCTTCCTGGCTTCCTTCCTTCCTTGCTTCTTCCCTTCCTCGCTTCATACCTTCCTTTCTTCCTCGCCTCTTCTTTTCTTGCTTCCTTCCTTCTTTGCTTCCTTCCTTCCTCGCAACTTACCTCCCTCGCTTGCTTCCTCGCTTCCTTCCGTCCTCGCATCTTTCCTTCCTCGCTTCCTTCCTACCTTGCTTCCTCGCTTCCTTCCTTCCTCGCTTCCTTCCTTCCTCGCTTCCCTCTTTCCTTCCATGCTTTTTTCCTTCCTTGCTCCCTTCTTTCCTCCTTCTTTGTTTCCTCGCTTTCTTCATAAATTTCTTCCTCACTTCCTTTCCTCCTTCCTTCCTTGCTTCATTCCTTCCTTCCATGCTCCCTCGCTTGCTTTCTTTCTTGCTTCCTCGCTTCCTTCTTTCCTTCCTTCCTCGCTTCCTTACTTCCTCACTTCCCTCCTTCATTCCTTGCTTCCTTCCTTCCTCGCTTCCTTTTTTCCTCCTTCTTTGCATCCTCGATTCCTTCGTTCTTTCCACACTTCCTTCCTTTTTGGCTTCATTCCTTCCTTGTTTCCTCGCTTCCTCCCTCGTTTCCTTCTCTCCTCCTTCCTTGCTTCCTCGCTTTCTTCTTTCCTTGCTTCCTCGATTCCTTCCTTCCTCACTTGCATCCTCCCTTCCTTGCTTCCTCCCTTCCTCACTTCCTTCTTTCCTCCTTCCTTGCTTCCTCGTTTCCTTCATTCTTTCCTTGCGTTGTTCTTTTGTCGCTTCATTCCTTCCTTGCTTCCTTCTCTCCTTGATTCCTTGCTTTCTCGCCTTCTTTCCTGACTTACTTCCTTATTTGCTTTTTTCCTTCCTTCCTTTCTTGCGTCTTTGCCTGCCTCCTCTCTTCCTTGATTCATCGTTTCCTTCCTTCTTTGCTTCCTGGCTTCCTTTCTTCCTCGTTCCCTTCCTTGCTTCCTTCCTTGCTTCCTCAGTTCCTTCCTTCCTTGCTTCCTCGCATCGTTCCTTCCTTGTTCCCTCGCTTCCGTTCTTTCTTTCTTCCTCAGTTCCTTCCTTCCTTGCTTTCTCACTTTCTTCCCTCCTCGCTTTCTCGTTTCCTTGCTTCCTTCCTTCCTTCTTTGATTTCTTGCATCCTCCCTTCCTCGCAATCTTTCCTTCCTCACTTCCTACCTTGCTTTCTCGCTTCCTTCCTTCCTCGCTTCATTCCTTCCTCGCTTCCTTCTTTCCTCGTTTCCCTCCTTGCTTTTTTCCTTCCTCGCTCCCTTCTTTCCCCCTTCTTTGCTTCCTCGCTTCCTTCACAAATTTCTTCCTCACTTCCTTCCTTTCTTCCTTCCTTTCTTGCTTCATTCCCTCCTTCCATGCTTCCTCGCATCCTTCCTTGCTTCCTTGCTTTCTTCCTTGCTTCCTCGCTTCCTTCTTTCCTTGCTTCCTCGCTCCTTCCTTCCCCACTTCCCTCCTTCCTTGCTTCCATCCATCCTCGCTTCCTTCTTTCCTCATTCCTTGCTTCCTCGCTTTTTTCGTTTTTTCCTCGCGTCCTTCCTTTCTCGCTTCATTCCTTTCTTGCTTCCTCGCTTCCACCTTTCCTCCTTCCTTGCATCCTCGCTTCCTTCCTTCCTTGCTTCCTCGTTTCCTTCCTTCTTTGCTTCCTGGCTTCCTTTCTTCCTCGCTTCCTTACTTGCTAGCTTCCCTGCTTAATTCTTAACTTGCATCGTTCCTTCCTTTCTCCCTCGGTTCCTTCCTCCCTTTCTTCCTCAGTTGCTTCCTTGCTTGCTTCCTCGCTTTCTTCCCTCCTCGCTTTCTCGTTTCCTTGCTTTCTTCCTTCATTGCTTCTTTCCTTCCCTCCCTTCCTTTTTTCCTTCCTTGCTTACTTATATTACACCCACCTTCACTTCTTCTATTTACTTCCTCCATTCCTTCTTTACTTGCTTGCTAACTCAATTACTTACTTCGTTGCTTGTTTACTTCCTCACGTGCTTGCTTGCTTTCTTGATTATTTACATTCTTTCATATGGCAGTGGAAAGACAAATTTTGATGAAAACCTGCAAACGAACTAACGAACGAGGAAAGAACGCACGGATGGACAGAAGAACAGCAAGAACGTAGTTACAAACGAACGCACGAAAGAACGCACGCACGAACGAACACAAAAACGAACACAAAAAGAACGAACAGACGAACGCACGCATGAATGGACGGTTGAACGAAAGCACGCACGGACGAACGGACGGCTAGACGGACGAACCCACGAACGAAAGGGCAGTCAGACGAAAGCAAGCACAAACGGACGGTCAGACGAACGCATGCGCACACAAACGGACGGACAATCGCACGAACGGATGCACGAACAAATGGACGGTCGGACGAACGCTGCCACGAACGCATGATTGGGCGATGCACGCACAAACGATCAGTCGGTCGGATGAACGCACGCATGAACGAACGGACCGTCGGACGAACACACGCACGAACGAACGGTCGGTCGAATGCACGCACGAATGAACGGTCGGACAAAGAAACCAATGAAATATATGTGTCCTCAGAAGTATAATCCTTGGAATAGTTAATTATGTAGAATGTACATTTAACTCCGAAATGTACAAAGTCTATTTACATATAAAAATTTGATCATGCCGCTGACAGATGGATTAGACTGCCTGAAGTTGAAGAAGAAATATTTGTGATGTTGCCATAGAATGATATGTTATGTGATTGTCATTAATACGTTATTTGCACATTCGTGTACGTTCATATGAAGAAGCTCACTATATTCATGGAATAATGATGAAGCTTTCCTCGTGATCGAAGCGGGTAGTCGTGAAATTTGCTCGTGTTTTCAGCGAGGTCTCCTCATGCTTTCAGCGAGGCCTCCTCATTTTTTCAGCAGGGCCAATGGAACACCTTTAATAATGTATTTCAACCTCCTTGGCAGGTGTCATTGTCCAGTTACTTATCAATACAGACCATCTTGATCCGATATTTATTATGGAGTATGTAAATCGTATTTGTTGCCTTTATTTTAACGATAAAGGTAATATATGAACAGTAAATTATGCAAACGTGCATGTTGACGCCCCTTTCCTTCATGCAAGTAAAAAATAATCATTTTTCATGTCATTTTTTGTCGAATATATCTGTTTTCAAAGTTTTGCTGGAGTATCAAAGAACGGTAATAAGTATTTTCATCCTTTTGGTTCATTTTCCAAAGTAATACAAATAAACAGGACTATGCTCGCGATTTCAGGGGGAACTTGCTCGCGACTTTTCAATCATAGCGGGGCTTTAGATACTACCCGTGGTAATGGTGGGCCATAATGATTATTCTAAAAATTTTGTGTAGGTCACTGAATTTTCTACCTGAATTTTCTCATTTTTCATACAGTATGATTATACAGGATAGATGGTGCTGACTGCAGTGAGTGGCACACACCCACTTTCTTCAGAGACTTTCTTATGATGTGGCACATCCCCACTGGCACTTTCTTATGATGTGCCACACCCACTTTCTTAGGTTACAAAAATCAATGGATATTTAGAAGCCCTAGATACCTACCCACTTGCCATATCTAGGCCTATTTATTTTCACTGCAGTAGTTCAACCTTTGTCCTAGACACTAATGATAGCATTCATCTACAGCTGATCGTTTACAATTGTCAGATTAGTGGAGTAAAAGTTCACAGTTCAATATTTATGATGAACATGCTGACTTTGTTGACTTGCCATAAAATTATGTCACATGCAATCTGATTGGTTGATCTCTGTAGAATAGTGAGCAAGAACCAATGAAATATTACGTTACAAACTTCACTGACACTTCGAAAATGGCCTACAAATACTTAGGAGAGGATATTCTGAAAGGTTTTGACAAATATAAGGTAAGTTATACATTAGATATAGCGTGTAGATGTGTAGAAAGCTACATCCGTTATCAAGTCATCGTGATAACGAAAAGTAAACGGATTTATCATGGGATTTATGCATAATTGTGTTTTGATTTCAGTGAGTTTAGAAAAAAAATTGATCGATCAAATTTTTCGTTTCAAATTATTTTGGTGTAATATTATATCTATAACTGGGCCACAGGCACGGGCACAAAAGTCCATCCCCCACTGGAGTGAACTATTGTACCTGTGCCTGTGTATAGATGACTGGTACTGGGACTAGAGATTGGGATGATGGCCGTGAATTATATTCCACTCCGACTAAGAAATGCTTGAGAGGACCACCTTTGCCTATAAGACCCTCTCGTTATACAACGAACCCTTGGCTGTAAGCAGTGCCCTTTACTCCAGGCTGGGAACGAACACCATGCACTGTCAGAAAGATTTATTGCATCCTACGACCCCCACTACGTTTGTGGTCGTACACGCGATGCATTGGTCAGTCAATGTTTTTGCAAAGTTGGAGAAAATACTATGCATTGCATACTTAAATGGCCTACCTCGATACATTCATGAGTATTTAACAATCCTTTTTATGTGTAGTTGAACTGCCAATTATATGGGTTTATCGGCAGAATGAAGAGATTTTCGTTTTTGAATCGGAAATATTAAGCACTTTCCAAGATGGCGGAAGCTCGTCGGAAGGGGATTCCCCTTATGAGTGATGCATGCCAGGACAGGATGTACTACTAAATGAAGGAATTTGACATGAAAATCTCTTTGTTCTGCCGATAAACCTATACAATTGGCGATTCAACTACATAAAAAGAATTCTAAATTACTAAGGAATGTATCGAGGTAGGTCATTTAAGTGTGCAATCCATTGTTCATTCTCCAACATTGTAGAAATATTGACTGACCAATGGTTCGCGTGTACGACCACAATCTTAAGTGGTCGTAGGATTCGACAAAGAAAGATGACTATTTTTGCATGAACAATGAATCACACAGTTACCCTGCATGCAGAGTCTAGTTATAAATTATCCTCTGTTTAGTATAGACCATATTACAGTTTAGTAGCCCCACCCCCACAACCTATGCCTGTGACAGCCCGGGTGATAAATTATTTCGAAACTACCACACTAATCTTTTCTCACCCAATCAGCGAGCTGGAAGGAACACATGCTAAATACATGTTCATCAACTGCTATGCAATGACATTAGAGGAAATTACCATACATAGAAAGTCAATCATATTTTGACGACAAACTTTGAGTGGCTCGATGACTTCAGAGATTTATTGTTAACTGAAAGATTGAAGATGAAGTTCTCTTTGGAACAAATGGAAAGGGTATTGCACATTTAAACTAGCTATTTAATGATGCACATACTATATCTATAATTTGATTGTTTAGTTAAAACTGTTTCTGTCATCCCAACTGTACACTCCTCATACATTGTAGTTTCAGCAAGTTGAAATGCTGAATTCTGCAATTGAAATTAGTGAATTCTGCAAGTATAAGTGTCAATTCCAGAAGATTTCTGTTGGATTTCTCAGCATTTTTAATGAAAATTACAGTCTTTGCGGGTTGTGTTTTGCATCAATAAAACCGAAAAAAGCAATGAAAAGACCACAATGGAATATTGCAATATTATGGAAAGATAAATTCATATTTTACAGACAAATCCAGCATGGTTTTGACATTTTTTGTTTTGTCATTTCCTGTTAACTTCCATAGCACCTTAAGAAATTATTCCCAAGAGTTTTTCTAAATCTAAATATGTTGATTTGTCTTTCACTTGAATATAGCACCCTTCACTAACAAAATCATTATTCCCCCCCCCCTCCTCTCCCTAATGATATAATTACTTCCACGACTGATTGGACACCATTATTTTTCTGTTATTTTCAGTACAGTGCTCTGGATACAAGTCCATTCAGCAACTATGTCATGCATCCTTTCTGGAACACTGTGGTCAAGGTATGACACATGATGATTCTTGGCATGTTGAAAATAAAAATAAATTTATTTATTTAAGATGTTTACATCATGATATTAGGTATAATTAACATAAAGCTATATGTACATGCAATTGCATGTTCATGTAGGGATTTCAAAGTCTGCATTAATATATATTAAGAATGAGTGTTTGTAGTAGATGTGTTTATAATCTAATACATAATCTACATGTACCCTTTCGAACAATATACCGTATTTAAAGATGTTACATTTGTCTTCTAGGCTGTGCCAAGATGGGTGGCCCCTAATATGTTGACATTCTCAGGGTTTGTATTGCTGGTGTATAACTTTGGTGTACTGTCATACTATGACCCTGACTACACTGCATCAGACACGCGGCCAGGAGATCTAGGTCCTATACCCAACTGGGTGTGGCTCGTCTCAGCTTTATGCGTATTTGGAGCTCACACATTAGGTAGGTACTTCTGTCTAAATACTTGATTTTAATTGGTTGGTTCTTTGAAAGTCAACAATATTGACTGCTGACTGGTGCAATTGAGCGATTATTGAGCATTGATCGCTGGTAATGTAATGTTGACCTCTTCTAAGATTCTGTTGATCACAAATTATTTAATACCAACTAAACATTTGGAGGAATGTCAATATATTATACGCATGAATGCTTGGAGTCTTGCCATGTATGTATTAACGTATGTATTATTTATGTATTCGAAACGAAATTCAGCATCTGGATGTCGATCTGTATTCTTCACGGTATTATCGCCCATCAATATTTTTTCATATTTTTCTACGAATTTTTATTTTGGCGCCTCTCCTTCAATGCTAAATTTCGCCAAAGTTTTCACGTAGTTAAAGCTTCCACTTCTACAGTATATGATTATCTTAAAAATTCACTTAATTCCATTTTGTCCTTATATTTGAAACATGTACATGTACTGGTAAATGTTTTAAACATTAATGTCAACTAAAGTTTTGTTCATATTATTCCTGATAATTCTATAGAACAATGTACATATTATATGCTGTTCTCTTTGATTTTGATTTTGCATCCAAAAATACACTTTAATGGAATATGGACTCTAAATTGTTATATTTTAGATGGTATAGATGGTAAGCAAGCCAGGCGCACAGGGTCCAGTAGTCCTCTGGGTGAACTGTTTGATCATGGCATAGACAGTTGGTCCACTCTTATTCTTCCAACAGGTAGAACACAGCTTTTTGAATGAAAAAACTGTTCATTCTCATTTCTTTCTTAGAGCCATCTTTAGGATTCTTCAAGTATGATATACCATCCAAAGGTTATGTGTGATCAGGTTTGAATAGAATACATGATATGGTAATAGAGTCTATGTGTTGTTCTCTCATCTCTTGGTCCTTTAGAGAGATATAGGTATACCCCTCCCCTCTGGATAAACCCTGTATCTAAAACCTCCCAGTAGATAACCCTTATGTATTGTCTCATATTGACTATAAAATGTGATTCCAAGTGGCATTGTTTGAAAATGGCACTGGCTTATTATACCTAGATCTGTACAGTGTACTATGAAGCCCCTTTCTAATGAATATTCCCAAATAGATGATTTGTAGTGGATGAATAAGGCTGTCAATATTTATTTAGTTCAAACAAAAATGCTTACACTTCTTACACAATTCATGTTAGTTGAATTGAATTTTCTTTACGTTTTCATAATTTCAGGGATGTATTCCATATTCAGCCGTGGCTTTTACGGTCAGCCTACCTTGTCAGTGTTTGGAGTTGTATTCCTTGTGCAGTTTTGCTTTCTGTTGTCTCATTGGGAGAAATACAACACTGGGGTACTCTACCTGCCTTGGGGATATGATCTAGGACAAATTGTAAGTTCATGAATTCCATCCTCCTAAGCAGGTATCCAGAATCTGTACCTCCTTCTTCCCCCTGCTTTAACCATTTTGGAAGCGCCCGATTAAACTGAATCACGTGGTCTAATTATGCGCAATGACTTATACCTGATTTCTGTCACAGTGTTGCGACAGCCAATCAGATTGCGAGTTCTTAATCGGGGAAATGCTAACTGCTTATCGCAGGGGGTAAAAAGAAAGAATATTTTCTGGATTTTGAAGCCCTGTGATCGGAGGTTGATAAATTCTAACACGTCTCATTTAAAACCCTAAGATCCTCTAGCCCTAAGAAGCTCCCCCTCTACAAATCTAGCCTTTGGAGTTAAAAAGTACAAGAAGGGAGTGGATCCACAGACCTGATGCAAGTCTAATACCCTGATAGGACCAAATACTGTATAATATTACAGAAATGTATTGTGTATAAATCTTTCAGCTAGAATGTTCACATAAGTTGTAGAAATGTATTCAGTCTTCCAACATCTGCATTGATCAATTCAGCAAAACCAGAACATATTGTAGGCAGAGGAATTAAAAACTGTTTACTGGTTAATCCAATGGAAAATTAGTTATGATAATTACTGTAGAGTAGAAAAATGGAGAAAAAAGATCTTTGACCAAGTAGAGGAGATATTTTTAACAAATTCACTTCATGCAATCCTTCATGTGACTTAATCATTAAATTGAAAGAAATTGTCTATACAAGTATGTTGTTTTTCTTGTTTTCAGGGTATGAGTTTGTTGTATCTAATAACATTCCTTGGCACTATAGACTTATGGAAGATGACACTACCTATAGTTCATTTAAGTCCTGCATGTTTCTTCACAATATGTTTGTATGGTAAGTATTAATTCTGAATTCTTTGAAATTGTTAATTTATGTTACGTATTGTTAATTTATGTATCATTTTAACAAGTGGATATCTGCCTATGTGTATAGATGCATTGTATAATCATAAGAATTTGATATTGCTGCCATCTTTTAATTATCCCATCGAATGAAGCTAGGAGAGATGTAGGGAACACCTCTGTCTGTACGTACGTCCTTCCGTACGTCCGTACGTCCGTTTGTCTGGGCAATAACTCAAATACTGTAGACTTGATTTTGTTAATATTTTGTACACATATACCCTGTGGGGGTAGAAGTTCTGCTCAAAAGCCGATTTTCAAAATGGCCACTCATTTAAAAAAAATTATATAGGACATTAATAAAGCTAGAAATGTAGATATTAAAAAAGCAAATGGCAGCCATCTTGAAAAACGGCGGAATTCACACACTATTTTACCATTTTTGCTGTAACTCGAAAAGTGTTGGAGTGGTTTTGTTCATATTCTATATATTATATTCATGATGTCTCACGCATCAAATGATTGGAAATTTTTCATGACACACGCAGAATACATATCATGACCATGACCATGACAAGCCAAAAATAATCATACATACACATTTTTATCTTTAACATTTTCACAAATAATCATTTTACCATTATCTGAATTTTTGTGCATTGAACTACATGTACAACAATTGAGTAAATAGAAAAATGTTCCAATTTTTATTGGCCCACCCTGTATATATATAATATTTATTTTCCAGCTTCCTGTGTATTATCAGCGCTTATTTCTGTGTTTAATGTTTATGTGTAAGTATATTTTGAAATAATTGAATTTTCAATTTTATTAAATGGGTGTTCTCAAAGGCTTGACTTCATTTGCTATCTTAAATATGAAATTATAATTATTAGGGCTGCGTTTTAAACTACCTGCCAAGCAAGCAAATTGCACAACACTTCATGAGCCTTCTCCCGGGTATAACGAAAAAGATTATTATAAGCCCCTCGTTGCAAATTAAATGGTCACACATTTTCAACAAAAACAGCTCATCCAAACACACTTACACTGCTTAATACTCCTGTGTCAACAATATAGAAGAAATAGTGATATATTATATGTAGTATGATATTATGTTATTCTCAATTGAATATTTAAATTGTATTAGTAATTTTGAATGGCTTTAATTTTATAAGGTATTGAATGATATGAAGTGCAATACAGGATATATTCTGCTTGTGAAATTCCGCATTGGAACGAGACGAAGTCAAGTGCCAATACAGAATATCAAGAGCAGAATATATCCTGTATTGCACTTTAAATCATTCTCTAACGTTTTTTATCTTGTGATCATCTGTATTGCTACTGAGAATGTCCTCTCCGTACCAATATTTTCTGTATTACGACGGAGATGATCAATGGGGACAATCTCAGTAGCAGTACAGATCGGTACAGCACAAGAACTGACCAATCAGAAGGCTTCATTTTACAGATCATACGATAATAACACTTCTTGTCCTTTTCAGGTCATACAGGGACAATACAGGGCACAATAGAACATTTTATGAAGCCACCAGGCCTTTGATATCATCATCAGTATTATACATATTGTTCACCATTTGGGCTTTATATTCACCATATGACATCTTAGAAAAAACACCAAGACTGTTTTACTACACATGTGGGACAACATTCTCCAATCTAGCTGTAAGTGTTTGTATGTTTGGGCTATGGTACAGGGTGTTCAAAAAAAATGAAACCCAAAGAAATATATATATATATATCTTGGAAAATACTACTCCAAGTATGTTCATATTTTCAGGAAAGAAAGAAGAGACTGTGTATGTATATCCCCTGTTGTTAGTTAGTTGTAAAACATGATGTCATGGACACTTGCTCAAAAGACAGTTGTACTAGCAAAATACGAAAAACGTGAATGGAAAATCACTATATCTTGGAAAATACTGATTCAATTATGTTCATTTTTTCAGGAAAAGAAAGAAGAGACTGTGTATGTATAGCTCCTGTTGTCAGTAAGTTGTAAAACATGATGCATTGGACACCTGCTCAAATGACAGTTGTACTAGGAAAATATGAAAACGCAGTCAGAGGTGACTGCCACAGCAATAAAACCAAATAACTTTCTAACCATGGTGTTTTGGCACTTCAGATTTGGCACAAATTATATTCATTCACTGTGTGGTGAATTTGTGGAGTTTCATCAAAATCACTCCAGGGACTTTACAATCATGGTCAAAATGCCTTCTTAAGTCTCCCTGAACCAGGGCGTTTGACTGCAATTTGAAAGCATTTCAACCATGACTGTAAAGTCCCTGAAGTGAGTTTGATTTCACTCTACAGATTTACCATACAGTAAACGAAGATGATTTGTGCCAAATTTGAAGAGCCAAAACACTATGGTTAGGAAGATATTTAACTGCGTTTTTCGTATTTTCCTAGTACAACTGTCTTTTGAGCAGGTGTCCAAGGCATCATGTTTTACAACTAACCATTTACAGGAGCTATACATACACAGTCTCTTCTTTATTTCCTGAAAATATGAACATAATTGAACCAGTATTTTTCAAGATATAGCGATTTCTTTGGGTTGCGTTTTTTTTAACACCCTGTACTTTTTTGAGGCAAATTTAGAAAGATGTTGCATTTGAGGGAGTAAAATCTTAAGATCTTATTTTTATTTATAGTTTGAAATTGAAAAAAAAGAAATATCATTAATGTTCATGTAGAGTACATGTACACGGCTGCTTAGTGTTATGCCTGGTTAAGATGACTCAATCCCATTAACATATTGTCTGTATGGCATTTATATGAAGTAATCGAAAAGGTCTCATTACTCGTACAAAATAGTTTCAAAAGATTTAATACACTGTAGTATAGTTTACATGTAAGTACATTGGGTAGGTTTGTACATTGTTCAAATATCAATTTTTTACTGTAAACTGACCTCATGCTTTTTCAGAGTCGTCTGATAGTTAACCAAATGAGCATGACAAGGTGTCAGGTATTTAACTGGTTGTTAGTGCCTCTCCTATGTGTGGTTGTACTTATATTTGCCATTCCATTGGGTGCGTATGAACTCTACTTCCTGTGGGCGTACTGTCTTCTGGTCACAACAGCACACATACATTATGGGTATTCAGTGGTAAGTGGAAAAATTGGCTCTTGATAGGGAAGTGCCTATCACGATAAGTTACACGAAGACCCTCGTGAGTGGTGACCCCCCCCCCTCCATAAAATGTAAAATCTATATTTTATGTACAGTAGATCATTTTATGTATAGATGTCTCTCTTACATTTTGGATGCCTGTGTTTTGAAACAAGTCTTAATGTGAATCCTTTTAACTGATTCACAGGGCATTTTCTAATATTCTGAAAATGACTTTATAAATTGTGGTGTCCCCCAGGGCTCAATACTTGGGCCAATATTATTTCTCCTATACATTAATGACCTTCCAGACAATCTGGAGGGGCATTGCTATATTTATGCGGATGACACTTCTCTACATCATCCTTTTGACCCTAAGCATCCACAAGAAGTAGATGCAATAGCCAGATCTAACCTAATTAAAATTGAAAAATGGTCTGACACCTGGAAATTGAAGTTTAAACCTGAAAAGAGTTCTGAAATGATATTCCACTCATCCAGATCTAAAGTCGATAATGTTTCTGTTTCAAAGTTAAACAATGTTGAAATTACCAGAGATCACGAGCACAAACATCTGGGATTTACTTTTGACCCTAGCTTATCATATGACAAGCATATTGGAGAAATCATATCAAAAATACGAAAAATGTTGAACCCTTTAAAGAAACTTAAATATAAGTTAGGTAGTAAGCATCTAGAAACCATATTTAAGTCCTTTATTTTACCCCATTTTGACTATGGTGCTATCATGTACAGCACAGCCTCAAAGTTCCTATTACAACGACTCGACAGTCTTTATTATAAAGCTGCACTTTATTGTTCTGGGTGTATCCAAGGGAGCAGTTCAAAAAAGGTTTTAAACCTACTCAATTGGCCAACTCTTGAATCAAGACGCAGTATCCAGATTAACAACTTTATGTTCAAAATTGTAAATGGTACAAGTCCTCCCTATGTAACTGATATTTTTGACAAATTTAGAAACCATGCAAACAGAGTATTGAGATATAATGAAGCATTTAAAATGCCCATTAGATGCTCAAATAGATTCTCCACCTCAGCAATACCAGCTGCAATTTCACATTGGATCAATCTTCCACCTGCTATTAAATCTAAGAATACTCTTTCGAATTTTAAAAAACACCAAAGAGTACATTTCCAAAAAACGCCCTCGATTTTGTCAACAAGCCAGCTTAATCTAACAAGGGTTCAAGAAATAGTTCTCAATAAAGTGAGAGCTGACCTATACTTCAAAGCCCAGTTCTACGCTCACAACTTTCAGTCTATTGACAGCCCTAATTGCACTTGTGGAAAACCACAAACTCTGAAACATTTTCTCTTTCAATGTGACTTACTTACTATACAAAGACAGCAATTCATGGACAAACTCACTGATCTCGAACCAAACATCTTCAGTCATAATCTCTCTCAAACTGATTTCATAGCTATTTTGAAAACAGGAATTCCCAAATTAAACATAGATGCAAATTCCCAAATACTACTTCTCATTGTTAATTTTATCAAAGACAATAGCTAATTCCCTCCTTCTTATCCATCTCTAGTATCCTCAAGTCCCGTCACACTTGCCCTAGTCTAAGACCCTGCCTGCTCTGCCACTTCTACTTCCACCTGCCCCCTATTCTTATATAATGCCATTGTGGCGATTTAAGAATTTACATGTCTGTATTTACATTTTTTGTATTCTATTGAAATAAATTTAATAATAATAAAAAAAAAACTGATTCACACAGGAGCAGTTTCAGTTTCATTTAAGACAGGATTTAATCTTCCTATTTAAATAACAGGTAAACTCAACAGGTAAATCCTAAAAATCTAATAGACCTTTCCAGTAAATTCTGCCACCTTTTGTAGGTGAAAGAAACTAGGATGGAACATGGAAGATATCTGTACACATTGCAAACCTCTCTTTCAATCTTTAGTCTAATCTATAGGGTTTATCTTTGGTAGTGGATAACTATTTGTTATTTCTCATTTTCAGGTGGTCCAGATGGCAGATCATTTAGGAATCTATAGTTTTACCATTACAAGTAAGCCTCCAAAAAAGCAAACATGACTGACTCAGGACCAAATGCACAGGTGCTAGCGAAGCCAAAGATACAAACCAACCCCATCAAACCATTATGATGTTATTCAGCTTTTTGTCAAGGATTGTGTGAACGCTAAACATTTACAATGATTGAACAAAAGAACCAATTTCTATGCACAGGGTTCTCACAATATTGGATAGAGACTGGCGGCCCGTATAGTCTTATCTACTGACAGTGTAGTCTAATGCAATGACAAAATCCCACTGAATTCTATTGACTGAAATATATTATCAACAGTACTAATATAGTCCTTAAAAAGAATTAACAAAAACAAGAAGAGAAAGAATATCACTTACTTTTTTCTGGTTATTAGTTTATAATCATCAGTATTTGTAGAAAAACAGGAGTTATTGTACATTTGAGTACTGATGCTGCAAAATGCCATGATACATCAAACAACGGGATGCAACTTTTTCTGGAGTCTAGAATTTTTCTTGTGAGAACCCTGATATGGTCATAGGATCTACATGGTATAATCTGTGTAATCATACTTCAGAATTTATTCAGAGGGGAAAAGGCACAATAATTTGGAAGAATTTGTGATCATAGACAGTGTTCTGTTCTCCACAGAATTTTTTCTCCAAGTGGGTGCAAAATTCCCATTTTCACAATTCAGACCAAAATTGGTCAAAGTATTCCAATTTTTCATGATTTTTCATTTTCAAGTGGGTGCAAATGGATTTTCAGGTGGGTGCAACCCTGATTTCAAAATCTCAGGTGGGTACTGCGCCCACTTGCCTTAACGCTGTGAAGATCACTGATGTTTTACTCATATACCTTCTTGGAAAATATTAGTGTCAAAGTCATGTGGAATTAGGACTTTTAAAACCAGCTTTGAACACAGAAATTTTTTTACATGCTTTTCAAATGACTCCTTTTAAGAAGGGCACCAATTATCTGAGTCAAGGTTTATGTAGTCCACGCATACCCCTGAACTGTTTATTTACAATGTAACCGCAATATAATAACCAAGTTTTTAAGATTTAACACAAATGTGCATTTTTTATTTTTGAAAACATGTACATGTGGCAATACTAGATTTTAAGCAGGGCGCATCTATTTTAACATGTTTATCAACTTTAAATCGAAAAGGTAGGGTAAAAACAAATGTTGTTCAAAACTTGTGTGTGGTAGAGAGAGAAAGTAAAATAATGATGATTTTATTATGTCACCACCAAAAAGTGGTGACATATTGTTATGGTCTCCGTTTTTTGTGACGGCGGTTGGGGATCGGCAGTCGGTGTCTGTTACAATTCTTAAAACTTCCAATAACTTAACAAATACAGTTTAGACTGACTTCAGTTTTTTTCAGAATCATCTACAAGTTTTCAGAAGATCAAATCTGACTTTGTATTTAAGATTTGACCTTCAGTGACCTTTTCAAGGTCAAAAAAAGGTCAAAAAGGTCTTTTTCAACTTGCTTTCAAATCGTCTAAAAGTTATCAGAAGTTCAAATCTGACTTTAGATTTGACCCTCATTGACTTTCTCAAGGTCAAAAAGGACTTTTTTCAACTCACTTCAAATTGACCATTTTTTTAAAGTCATATAGAAGTTCTCAAAACTTCAAATTGACTATAGATTTGACTTTCAATGACATTCTCAAGGTCAAAAAATATTTGGCCTTCTCAAGGTCAAAAGGGTCTTTTTTCAACTTGCTTCAAATTGACCAATTTTTTTTCAAAATCATCTACAAGTTCTCAGAAGTTCAAATCTGACTTGAAGATTGAACTGATAATATTATGAGCAACTAGGTGGTGACATTTTGTCATGTTAATGTCTTGTTCAAATACTTGTTGCAAATCATAAATAGGACACCTTGTATCAGATTGCTAATATCAATGCTCAATATTGCTTCAACACTCAGCTGATTGTACATGTAGCTATTGTAGCATGTTGGCATACCAGATTTATTTATAACAAATGTACTCTTTGTGCTGTTTGTACCTCGTACTCATACAAAACCTAAACCTTGCTTCATGTTTTACGCTGTCACCATGTATTTATATGAATGCTGTTGTTCTACTATTATTAACCTGTAGGAACCATAAGCTACATTCCCGTTGTATCAGTATTGTCGTTATGCATTCTAGTCCCTCAGGCAGCTTGTTTGGAAATATTAATGATTGTATTTCAGTCCTGCTTTTATTGTATAAGCAATTGTAAAAAAGTTCAAGATGAATTATTTCTATAAACTAGTAAATGCATTAGGACATTGCATATAGATATTTGAACAATCATTATGTAATATATTCAATTGCAGTTTTAATAAGATATAATACCAGTGGTTAGTGAAGCTGTCAGAAGATCAATTTTTATCAGAAACTTAGGCAGTCTCAGATACTAAATAAAAAATGAATAACATTTGTTGGTGAAAAAGACATCTGACAAAGATAAATGTTTGGAAAAATACCAAATCTCCCTTAGTGCACACTATTGATTGGTACTGGTTAGTAAAAATAAGAAATGGAAATCAAAGAGATTGTATATTTTAGTCGTTTTATTGTATATTGTAGTATTGCACAGGCTATATATATTATTTTAGGCATTACATGTACAATGTAGTTCTGTTCTTGATCTAAGTTTGATGTTTTGACAGCTTTCCTTAATTTCCATGACATTGAATTTGAATATAAGGCAATGCAATAAAATATACAATTTACACACTGTATTGTGTTAACTGTAACATAATATGTAGATTTTTAAATGTTGAACTTGAACATCTTTCTAGTACAGCATGAAGAACCATGGTCTGTTCATCCTATTCTCCCATGTGTTTTAGTGAACAATAAAAATTATTGTTTAGATTAAGAATGTTTTAGGATAATATTACTTCCTTAAAAGATCATATAATGCCTATTATATCCATTAAGCGCATGTTTTGGAATAAATTCAGATAATATAGCACAGGCATGGAGCGACATCTATTGAAACATTGAAAGTGGATGATCAAAAATGTATAATATATTACATGTATACATCATAATAAATTTCTATTTACTGATTAATGTAAGAGTGAATATGTAGTGTCATCATAAATACTAGAAATTCTTACTTCTCATATAGCATTCCAAATGAATAGACACATGCTGATTTCCTGAATGTGAAGTCTACAGATTTTGGTCTAATGTATAAATTGCTATGATTTTGGTGCTTGAATTTTGAGATTTGGCAGAATTAAGTGTTGCTAATGATTAGATAAAGAACACACTGTTAAAGCCAATCTTATATGAATGGACTCTTACTGACAAAAATAACACATATCTAGGCTCTTTTGATGTAGTGTAATCACTAGACAATCTGTATTATAGTAGTACAGGGTCGTATGTTTTTTATTCCTGAAGATTTTAGCAACACTTTTAATTTAATCAGTAGAAACTTTTCCATCGATTTGTCAGAATCTGAGACCGATGGTCAGTTTTTCGAAATAGAAAAGATTTACAGAGGGAATAATTTGATTTCTGACGGATTTGGTATTATGCAAGTTGGCAGCTAATTAATTGTTAAATTCAAATCAATTTATTTCCTTGTCCACAGGCATACCCCTTGTATCAGTAGTGTTTCACCACATCCAAGTTGCATATTATTAGATATTAAGCCTAGCCTATACCACGTATACCAGTGTAATTCTTCACTCTGTATACTGTATAAGTGGTATTTAATCCGAGTGTTTAATTTTCCGAATGGTCAAATTTCATCATTTTCCTAATTTTAATTTTCCTAATGACAAGAAATCTCCCATTAGATAACATTATAAAGACAATATTTCCGACATTTAATTTTCCGAACCTGGCAAAAATTAGGAAATAGGCAAATTAAATGATTAGGCAAAATTACCACTTATACAGTATACAGTATTGATATTTTCATTTGTTTGCTTCCGCCATTTACTCTTAAATCATTGATCATAATATGCATATACTGAGTATATTAACTCAAATGTATAATATGAAGCATTGTCTAATCCATTAATGGTTTAGTATTTGTATTTCCATAAAATGTTAATAATCAAAGATTCTGATGCCATTACCTAAATGCTCTTCATATTTCACATTGCATTAACATTTTATCAGAAAATGTTAGGTGTAGATTTTGTGACCTTTTATGGGGGTTTGCATGTGGAATGAATGTTAAAGATTTCTATGTCACCACCAGAAATGGTGACATATTATAAGTTATTGAATGATTTTAAGTGCAATACAGGATATATTCTGCTCGAGAAATTCCGTATTGGAACGAGACGAAGTCGAGTGCCAATACAGAATATCGAGACAGAATATATCCTGTATTGCACTTCAAATCATTCAATAACGTTTTTATCGTGTGATCCTCTGTATTGCTACTGAGATTGTCCCCTCTGTACCAATATTTTCTGTATTGCGACGGAGATGATCAACGGGAACAATCTCAGTAGCAATACAGATTGGTACAGCATAAGAGCTGACCAATCAGAGGGCTTCATTTTACAGATCATACGATAATGTTATATATTGTAGTCACCAACTTTTTTTGTGGATGGCGTTCGGTGGTTGGAATTTAGCAGTTAGCTGAATATCAGTCAGTGACAATTGGCAGGTGGTGATATTTTATATTTTAATGCCTTGTCTTACTATACAATGGGTAGCTCAGCCAAGCAAAACCATGGAAATTAATTCCAAAGGTATTGACATACTTCCTGAATTTGCCTCATCTGATTTAATTTGCCTCACCTAATTTCTCACCTCACCTATGCCCCTGAATTCTGATTGGATAATAGCAAAGAATTGTCTTTAGTTTGAAGAGTACTAGTGTAGATGAATAAGAGCAAATGGTACAGATATTCATTATTCATATCCTTGCTTCAAATAAGTTTAAATGGGTGTATTTAAAAATTAAAATGTGGGTATTTGTAATTATATAAGCAGATTCAGTATTAAACAAAAGAACCATATTAAGTGTAACCATAGTACCTGACCAATAACCATATGATACTGTAATGTATAAACATGTGATTATTTGAAAATATCTTCAATAAATAAGATAATTAAAAAATAAATGTAACTTATGAATGTTCTATCAACAGACACGTACAGTACTTCTTCATTCTTTGTCGTCACTTTAAACGATAATATGAATGAAGGGTACAATCTGATGGATCTTACCTGTTAATATAGACTGCCCGTAATTCTTTGTTTGGTTTGCAAGTATATATTATTTATGGATACATTATTTCTGATGAAATCTGTCACTGTGACTTTTGCTTATCAGCATTAATTTGCCTTCCATCTCATGAAGGTAATATAACTAATCAAATTGAATTGCCATTAAAAGTGTAATATATTTATGTACATGTTTTGTCGACATCGTGCTGACTGCTAAGTGGATAAGTGAAGTGATAATGTCTAAAGCAATATCTGTATGGGAACGCAGTGTTAAATTTGAAAGGGGCAAACTCCTCTCTAATCCGAACACCTCTCAATATGAACATTTCTTCTTGGTCCCAAATTTGTTCCCTCTCATTGACCTACTCTTGAAAAACTTGAAATGTGAACACATGCTAAACCGAAGACTTCTGGCTCGTCCCCTGGAGGCATTAGGATGAGACAGGTTTAATTGTTAGTACCTCATTTGAAATACTCAATTCTGATTGGTTGATGAGCGGTCAACAATTGTATACTGTACCCCACCTGTGCATCATGGGATATCATATTATTGACCGCGTGTGTTACTGTACTACACTTGGGAATTATGGGGAATATGACGTCATAATGTTTACAGAAAAAAACATGGTAGACGGACATTTTGTAAAAGTTCATGAAAGTGATATTTTGTCTTTACTAGACTACAAGTATAGCAAAATACAAATAGAAACGTAAAATTAACATTAATTTACTAGTGAGTACGCAGTGATGTGCCGAAAACAGAGAGTTTAACTACCACTGTCTTCAAATTTTCTTAAACAAATTATTGCTGGCGTGGTTCAAAGAAAAGATTGTGAAATGAAGCCATGATTGATGATTATCGTCTATATGTGTAATATTAGTTTCTTCTGACTAACAAAACAATTGTAGACCTCTCCATTCGGTCAACCGTCAAAATCATATACCTCGACTGTAAACCTTGAAACTACTGTTGACCTCGACCTTCGGTCTCTGTCAACAGTAGTTTCTCGGTTTACAGTCTCGGTATACAATTTTGCCTGTTGACCTCTGGAGAGGTCAACAATTGTATACTGTTGACCGCTACGAGGTACTGTTGACAGTTCACGTGATATTCGATAATATACGCTGCCAATTATTATAGTCTTCGGACAACAAAACAATTCTCTATTCGGTCAACTGGTAAAAGTGTATACCTCTACAGTATACCTTGAGAGTACTGTTGACCTCTGGTATCGGCATACAATTTTGCCAGTTGACCACAAGAGAGGTCTACAATTGTATACTGTATATTTGTGATCAGTAAAGTAATTAATATGCACTTTGCTTATTGGTATTGCTATGAGCAAATCATGAGCAAATATAAAATTGTATTCTGCGATTTAATATGTTATGAAATAGACTTATGAATGAAGCCACAAAAGTTGTGATAAATGAGATGAATTGTCCACTACCTTCTCTGTGCTGGATAAGGTGAATTTCTGAAATTGCCACATGGGATCCAAAGCAAGTATTATCCTTTGGAATACTCACCATAGCGTAAGATAAAGTGAGACTGATGAATCAGAATGATGTAAATTGCTGATAAACTTATACAACAATCCATCGGGAATATGATTATTATCACAATCCATCGGGAATATGATATTTATCACAATCCATCGGGAATATGATATTTATCACAATCCATCGGGAATATGATATTTATCACAATCCATCGCGGGGAATATGATATTTATCACAATCCATCGCGGGGAATATGATATTTATCACAATCCATTGGGAATATGATATTTATCACAATCCATCGGGGATATGATATTTATCACAATCCACCGGGAATATGATATTTATAACAATCCACCGGGAATATGATATTTATCACAATCCACCGGGAATATGATATTTATCACAAACCATCGGGAATATGATATTTATCACAATCCATCGGGAATATGATATTTATCACACTCCATCGGGAATATGATATTTATCACAATCCATCGGGAATATGATATTTATCAAGCTTGTTAAGCACAAACTGAGTGTCACTGAAAAACAGCAGAATACTAAAACGAAACAAAAATATTTGATATTACTTTCTAGTATATAGTCTTTAATAGCCCAGTTGTGTCACAATGAATCGCAGTTTTTATTCTCCTCTCATTCAAATGTTTTATGACCAATGTGCAATGTCATCAATCTTTATTGAAGTCTTACCAGCTGTTGGTGTATTAGAACTTATTTTTGTATCATCTAATTCGTAATGTTATTTGTTAATAGCAGATTCTGCCATTGTGGCAACCTCTCATCTCTTAAATCTTGAAAAGCAAAATAAATAAGCTTTGATACACATCGGTTTGTTTTGAAAGTTTCTGATATTACGAACCACGAAATAATTATACTTGAGCATTGAGTTTTACTATACTGTAGTCACTTTAAAACCATGTGTCTCTTCGGTTGATGCACTTGTTCCTGCCGTTACACCATCCCCCTCTTCATCATTGTTTGTCCCCGGATTGGCAATAGGCGTTGGGGGTATGTCATATTTATTCATTAAACTCCACAATGGTAGCGTCTGCTTCATAAGTGACATAACAGTTGTCTTATTATGGTACCTTGCAGTGTGAAAATGTTTTCTTTGCACAAATTCATAGTAATAGTAATTCAGTATCGCCTCTTGGTGTTCACGCCGTACGTACTTAACCAAAAGGATTATCATACTGAAGGCGTAGAATAGGAGCACGATAATAATGTATAAAAGTGCTTGAGTGTCACTACTCAGACCATGTAGATGTTCAGTGGTGGTTTCATTTGATGTTGTAATTGTTGGCTGTATTGTTGCTGTTGTTGTTGTTGTTGTTGTAGTTGTTGTAATATCTGGGCTATGTTGATTTAATATCCTTTTAAGGACGTCCTCTTTGATTCGTAGATTCACAAATCCATCAGATACATTATATATTCCTTTCATATTAGGTAGAGCCATTCTCCATATATCATATATAGATCTTATTATCCAAATATTTGAAGAACTGGTGTTCGGTTTTTGTCAGCTTGTTTTTAATATCAATCAAGAAATTGAAATTGAAATGATGCAATTGTCCATCATGTAAATGTTGCAATCGCCTTGTAGACAACAACCGTCTTTGCTTGATTTTATTGTCTTCCCTGACATGGCTCTACGTAAATGGCAAATTGTTTCAAATAAATCATTTTTACAGATATAAATATTGTGACTTCCAATTACAAATTCAGATTTGTTTTCGCTGGCTGATAGCTGCATCTTCTCGAGTTTGAAATATGACACGGATAGTCATCAATATTCATACTGAATCTATAGAGCGTGTAAAATGGTAGCATACTCATCCTATTAGCTCATGTTATTTTTACTAAGTCCCTAAGAAGGAAAAAGCAATCCAACTTGCTTAGTTCATCAACTACTTGCTATTAACTCATCAGTTTGACTCTAGGTTGAACAAATATCCGATTCCTCAGAGTCGCAGATCTCCCATTGATAAAACACTAGCTCACTTAATTTAGATTTTGATAGTTTCTAATATTCCAACCCTGGGATTCGAACGGTAACATTTTCCCAATCATGTAATCCACGATTAACATGTTGAATCGAAAATTGCGGAGTCTGATTTCCATCTATAATAGTTACATATGTATATCCACAGTTGAAATACAATCAGCCGTGTATGTAAACACATCCACCTGTCTCCTTTTCAGACCAATCTAATCAAACGGCTTCATGCTACTTCATAATATCCCACAGGATTTCAGATAATCAGGTTAGGGTGTTTCCAGATTGAAAACAGATTTGTTCTTTATCCAAGATTTGATTTTAGGCTACATAGAATCGAAAGTAGGGTGGATCTCAAGTGTCTGCTCAAAGTTGACATTTAATGATTGGGATTAAGGAAGAATCTCATAATGAGAATTTTTAAGTTATTTTCTTGGCAATATTAATGAAATCTCTTTAATTTATGTGGAAATGTACATTTTAGAGTATTACAGAACACACCCTACATTTCAAATACTATACCATGAAATTACAATTCAAAAAAAATTTTTTTAGATAAAAGTGTAGTTGTTTTGGTAAAAATGTAGAACTACCTTAAATATATTTTTCATTTGAAACACAACATTGCACACATATCATAGTGAGCTAGGGAATTACGATATTGGCAGGTGGTGAGTTATTGGACATATAAATAATAATGACAAGGCAATGACGACAAATTGATGATGAGAGAGAGAGTTTTGGACGCCATGGGAAATATAAATCCCTAGAATGGCCTGGAGACTTTTAATGAACACGTCATGATTATGATGGCATCATAAATTGGGTAACATTATAGCATTTTCTATGGAGAATCAAATTTCAAAGTTTCCTAATAATACGACCTTTCTCATTCCACTGGTTGGGTATATAACTCTAGTAGTCATGGTTATGCATTAATGTCTCTCAGATAATTTTAAGCTGCAGCCTTCTTCATCCTAGCTGCTACCAACACAATACAATACAAAAGGAACCAATACAATATAATAGCAGCCAATATATATAATACAATATCAACCAATATAATACAATAAAATAGCAACCAATACAATACAATAACAACCAATACAATACGATAGCAATCGATAAAATACAATACAATAGCAATCGATACAATACAATATCAACCATACAATACAATATCAACCAATACAATACAATAGCATCCAATACAATACAATAGCATGCAACCGATACAAAACAAAAGCAACCAATATAATACAATAGCAACTGATACAATACAATAGCAACCAATACAATACAATTGCTAGTACTGGTTAGGATCTAGCTGACATCATGGTTCATGTTCTCTGATTAACATCCAATTTGTATCTCTCTGAGACATAATGGATTAAGTGAGCCACCATGCAGAATCAATGTATCATTTGATAACAACATCCGCTGTAAGTTTTAGTCGTTGTCTGCACTTTGTGATATCGTGCTTAATCATTGTATTATACTTAATCATTGTACTAATTTATGATTATTTATTTAATCATTAATGTTATGTCACCGTCAGAAGTAGTGACATATTGTTATAATCTTCAACTATTTTGTGGACGGTGTTCGACGTCTGGCGTTCGGAGTTCAGCGTCGGTAACAAATGTAACAAACGGCTGGTGGGGACATTTTGCGTGATAATAATGCCTCGTTCATATTGTACTTGGTTATATTGCATTTTGTCATATTTTACGTTGTTATATTGTACCTAATCATCCGTGTTTTCGTGAGATAAACTCTAATTACTCATTATTCCCTAGACTACATTCCTACTTAATTATCCAACAGAAGAGGCTAAAAAGTTGAAATCCCAGGAATACCTCACAACAACAAGCTAGGGCATATATACAAAAACCTGGCTCCAATTACAAATGTGTGATTATTTGTAAAGACACTGACACCAATACTGGTCACAAAAGAATGGTGGTTAATAATGTCACCACTTCTTAATGGTGGATAATAATGTCGTTGGTGGTGGTTAATGTCACCACTTATTAATGATGGTTGATAATGCCGTTAATGGTGATTAATAATGTCGCCACTTATTAATGGTGGTTAATAATGTCGTTAATGGTGATTAATAATGTCGCCACTTATTAATGATGGTTGATGATGTAGTTAATGATTGTTAATAATGTCACCACTTCTTAATGGTGGTTGATAGTCGTTAATGATAGTTAATAATGTCACCACTTCTAAATGGTGGTTAATAAAGTCGTTAATGGCGGTAAATAATGGCACCCCTTCTTAATGGTGGTTAATAAAGTCGTTAATGGCGGTAAATAATGGCACCCCTTCTTAATGGTGGTTAATAATGTAGTTAATGGTGGTTAATAATGTCACCACTTATTAATGATGGTTGATAATGTCGTTAATGATGGTTAATAATGTCACCACTAATTAATGGTAAATAAAAAGCATAAGAATCCGAAATACAGAACTGTACCATAACTTTAGGCATTTTAACTGTGTGGAAACGTTAAACATGTACAAATATAAATTTAAACTTTATTAAAAAATATATGTTTTTTTGGTGAATGTGCCTGCTTATGGCAACTCAAAAAATGCAGATCACACTTACATTTTATTATCATATAAATCGTATTTCGCAACAAAACAAATAGTTTTATTCTGTAGCGAGATACAATTCCCTTATGAATCTTTTATTCATTTTAATGCACCAAATCCTATATTATTTTCGTATCTAAGGCTGTGGTAACGATAAATGCCATAAATATTAATGTTTTGGTTCAATTTATAGTCACGGCTGGGTTATTTTGACAATTTCTGCATATTAGTACTCTAATCCTAATAGATCATTATGTCAGAGTAGGAATACTAAAACGATGTAAAATATCTACGAATATTAGCAACCATAGTCATATTTCATCGTGACAAAATGTAAAAGAAAATTGGAATTTTCAGCGATTGTTTTTATAAATGCAACAATTCACAGCTTTTTCAGTTTCCGAGAATGGTAACTGCATTGTGAATACATTTAGGCTACTTAGTCAGGTAAAGCCCATTATTAGAATTATTGTCTGGTGACCTCAAATGTCACAGCATCATAATACACTTTGTAACATATGCCAGATACTCGTGACCCCCTCCCCCAACCCCTCCCACATTACACACACCACTCAACAAGTGAAGTGGATAGTTCGAGGTTCCAGAAGCAAGACTAATGCCAGGCAGAGATATATAACACATAATATAATGTTATTGTATGTTTCTGTGCCAGACGATGAACACAATGGATACCAACGCTGAGTATCAACGTCAAGATATGGAGACAAAAAATAATGACTTTGAACAATGATATGTCACAAAACCATTGCTCCCTCAGCAGTTCAGTCAATACCTTTATGGATAAAGATGGATTTTAAATCAGAATTCACTGAAATCATTCTGATATATGTCCAAATATTGCATTTTAGGCAGTGCATTGTATTCTATTGACATTACCATTAGATTATTAGGCATGCGGGATGTTGACAACAAGTTATAGGCGTGGGTTACAGGGGCGTAGCCAACTTTCAGTCATGGGGGTGCGATCGCCAAAAAAGTTGGGTTTTCAGTCAGGGGGTGCGATTACACAAGCCAAAAAATTAAGATTTATCTTGCATTTTACAAAAATTGATGCAACTTCTTTCAAAATTGAGCTATGAGAAACTTCAAATAATCGATCGACCCCCCCCCCCCCCTTGCTACGCCTATAAGTTATATGTAATTTATAAGCTGAGATGAAAGATCTCAAAATACCTGAAATCTGGGCTCACCAAATATATCCCATAATATTATGGCTGGGGAGAAATGATATGTCATGGTTTATTATGATGTTACAGAATACATTCTGATGAAAGAGCATAATCTTGAGACTAATTGAAGTTTCATTGAATAGCCTCCTTAACTGGACATCTAAGAATATCTTAGAACAATCATTTCTGTATATTTTCATACAATTACAATTTTTGTAAATTGTTATCGTTTAAGAGTTTTCGCGTTTCGTGATTTTTTGAAGCGCTCGATCAGTATTTGCAAATATATACAGGGTGTTCACTAAGTAATGATACTAAGTCTCCCATTTCTACATCAGTTTTTAACTAATCTTTCTAAATTTTGCACCTATCATCAGGCATGTAATAATGAGTGCACATGCCAAATTGCATTTGTCAGAATAAAAATAGTTAATTATATCATATACATTTTGATTTTGTAACCCGTCCATCCATATAACTCAGCGGTAGCACAGGTACCTCTTACGCAATAGGATTCGATCCCCGGTTCAGGCAAGACTAAATTTGCGTGTTTGCGCAAAGTACTTCAGGGTGTTTGACTGAGTGGTTCACAACTCGTCAAAAAGGCTGTGGTGTGTATTTGTATGTCTATGTATGAGTGCACATAACTAAGAACACATTAAATTCTGAGCATACCACTTCTGCAAATGATACAATATTTAGATCCGGCACTCTAGGTCCATGCCTGGTGGATGTAATATTCACTTAAAAGTAATTTGTTTCTGCTTCAGTGCAACTTTGTTGTTTAGCCTCCCATTCTTGGAAAACATTAAGTAGGCCAATCGAATCTTATTTCATTTTATTTCGAATCTGGCAGCCCTTACAATTTTCTCATCAGAATGAAACAGTTAACCCTTTAGGGAGACCATGGGCTTTCAATTAGTTGAAAGCCCATGGGGAGACCAATAGCATGGACATGTGGTTCAATTTCATTTCGCGAATAATGATCAAGGTCTGCATTTTGAAATCTTGGACTACTCTTCATTCTGTTCAATCTCTATGGATTACTTTGAAGTATGACACCCATGTTGCTTGTTTGCAGCAAGTTTCCCATTTCCAAAAAACCTGTTTTCCGATGACATTTTTTAACTTTGGCAGACTTTCCAACTAAGACTCATGGAGATCACGGACATCCTGAAGATCTTCTGAACTAGGATGTCATACTATTAATGAACCATACTATGAATGTTACCACTATACAAGACATATTTTGAATAACCAACTGACATAAAAATAGAGAATGCATAGCTCAAAATCATGTAAATCCAAATCAAATTATACATCGTTTCATCAAAATTGAGTAAAATTGATGTCTGTGTCAACGCACCTGTCATCAAGTTTCTATGACAACCTTTATTTCATTGTTTGGAGGTCATGACTTTTAAAACTTTTTAAATAAACTCACAATCACATTTTTAAGATATGCTGAAAATTTAAGCAAGAGTTCTTAAAATTTGACAAAGCGGGAGACTTAGTGTCATTACTTAATGAACAAGCAACCTTGTTATATAAGAAAGGATAGTGAAAGATGAACTAATTATACTCAAATCCTATCAATCAAGAATTAATGCTCTTAATAAATACGTAGCTTTATAGAATCGTGTAACGCCCAACACAAATACACTTTTGCTCATAAATTTGGAACCTTTTATGATGCGTGTCACGGTATTCGTTTAATTCTTACATCAATAAATGATTGGTTCAAAAAAATTAGAGATAATCAAGGAAAAGAGCACTTGGCTTGATTTCTATGGGAAGGTCATTTCTCTCTTCCCATATTATACGATGCCGAATTTGTGTTAATCGTACGCCATTCTCATAGAATGGAATAGTTTTCATTCCTTCCGTATTTTCTCTAGCTCCACTTCAACAAGCATGTTCTTCCCCAAACATGATTTTGACAAATCTAGTTGAAAGCCCATAGTATAGCTTTGCGGTTTTGGGTTTTCGCAGGCTGGGGCTTGCTGTAATGCAACACTGCAATGAGATCAATGGTACTTGAGTAGAGCAATGAGCCATACACGAGAAAAACAGTTTTGATCCAAATAGCCTAAATTGTTATAAACAACTGCGAAAATCGCAAAGAAATGTTCCATATTTATGGGCAACTTTGTATGTCTACACAATTAATCTAAAACGCTCCGTAGTAATGATCTAAGGCTTAGACAGCTCCACATGTTGGCTTTGACAATTGTATACATTTATAAGAAACCAGATTTTAAGATCTCAAAGTATCTCGAAGTCAGCGCTGGCAATATGAGAAACAAGAGAAAGTGTTTTCTACCATTGACTGTGTCAATACTGATGCTGCTCTTTTTCACACATGCCGCGCACGTACAGCGTGTCGAAAGATCAGCATCCCAAAGGGAAAATGACAAAACAACTAATCCAGTCGATCTTGAACGTGATGGAACAATTCATAAACTCGATTCTGGACGTGACGCAACAATTGATGAACTCGATCCGGAAATTGATCAAGTCGATCATGGAAGGGGGAAAACGCTTGATTCTGCTGATCCTGAATATGATCAAGTCGATCCTGACCATGACGTTATAATCAATCCATTTGATCCTGAACGTAAAACAACAATCGAATATGAGACGACAGTCAATCCTGTCGATCCTCAACGTCAGACAACAATTATTGATTCTGATGATGTTGAACGTGACGTGGCAAATGATCAAGTTCATCCTGAATTTGACACAACAATTCAGTCTTTTGATCCTGAACGTGCCGTAGCAAATTATCAAGTCAATCCTGACCGTGAAGTAACAACAAATGATTCTGTTGATGATGAACGTGACGTAGCAAATGATCAAGTCAATTCTGACCGTGAAGTAACAACAAATGATTCTGATGATGATGAACGTGACGTAGCAAATGATCAAGTCAATTTTGACCGTGAAGTAACAACAAATGATTCTGTTGATGATGAACGTGACGTAGCAATTGATCAAGTCGATCCTGAGTATGACCCGACAATCAATCCAGTCGATACTCAACTTGAGACAACTATTGGTTCTGTTGGTGCTGAACGTGACGTTGTAATTGGTCAAGTCGATCCCGAATATGAGACTACAATCACTCCAGTCGATCCTCATCGTGAGACAACAATTGTTTCTGTTGATCTTGAACATGACATAGCAATTTATAAAGCCGATCCTGACCGTGAAACAACATTTGCTTCTGTTGGTGCTAAACTTGACGTGACAAATGATCAAGTCAATCCTAAATATAACTCGACAATCAATCCAGTCGATCCTGAACGTGACGTAACAACCAATCAGGTCCATCCTCAACGTGAGACAACAATTGATTCTGTTGATCCTGAACGAAAGAGTATTTTTCATGCATTTGACGTTAGTGTTCGACCACTCGATGATGAAACCATTACTAACACTATCCATACACTGAAAAACCTTACAATTAGTACTGAAGCTCTAGAAGATCTCAACAGCTGTGGCGATGACATCTCTAGATACACTTGTATGGAGAATACTTGCAGAGGAAGATGCGGGCAGATGAACAACTACACAAATGCCTTGTGGCTCTGCTCTTGTGATGCTGCGTGTCCCGTCTATGGAGATTGCTGTAAGGACTTTAACGATGTTTGCGACAACCATACATATAACTCCGAGATGGAGGAAGTATTCGTTTGCAAAGATATAGGACCTGGTCAATATATATACATGAAGCAATCATGTAGACCCGACTACAATGATGTAGATATTATTCAGAAGTGTTACGGGGAGAGTGGGGTGGAGGGTGTCGTGCCGGTGACTGACGAACTTACCAATGTTGTCTATGTGAACTATTTCTGCGCTTTGTGCAATCTGGTCAATGATAACTTGGTTCCTTGGAAAATATCGATGCATTGTCCGTTGAGTGGTCACTTCGCCCCCATATCAGGCAATGATATAATCGAAATGTTAAGCAAGGTTCGACGACCAAGACGATGTTTGATTTCCAAAATACCATTAGATAAAGGTTTGAATGTGCGACGACCTTGTATCTCTATATTGGCCACTCAATGTAGAGGATGCAAAGACGATGGCATTATAGAAGCCTGCAAAACTGGAGTTCGAGATCCACAATTTTCCAAAAAGGGAGGTTTGATTGCAAGAAATGTTTATTGTCTGAAGTGTATGGGTTGGATCGATGATTCTCATGACTGCGACATTTTTCTAACGCCGAACGGAGGCAATACGATTTCCGACTTCTTCGCTTACTCCGTACTGGTTGATGTGATCAATGATTCTGGTTCCGTCTTGCAGATCAAGGCAGATTCGGGTATCGCGGGAATTGACTCTGTTGTAAAGGTGAAAGGCGCAGAGATAAGTATGATACAATGTCCAAACCGGTCTAAACTTGTCAAAAATGAATGCGTGTTCTCTGAGACACAATTTAAGGTTTTCTGTAAAATCCCAACGAGGAACAAGAATGCCCAAAATATCGAAGCACTCGTGACCGAGGTTATAAAAGAAGCTTTCGATATTTTGGGATTTCTTTATGTAGCACCTAAGAGTGATGGTTCCATGCATTGTCATTTCTTTGTCTCGTTCCAAAATGAAACATTTGACTGGGAGACGGAATTTATTCATAATGAGAAAATCATTCAGCGATCTTTTCCTCCTGTTGATTCAATTTCAACTGTACGCTATTGTTTAGTTGAGAATGATGAGATTGAATTGTCTCGCGCGAATTTGGTTGAAGGGGAGTCTACAACGGAAGGTCATTCGGTAACATCAGAGACATCGCGATCGCACTCTTCTAGTGGCAACCGTCGTATTATGAATGCTGGGAACAGGCTTTGGTCTGGCTTGTATGTTTCTACCTCGCTCTTTTTTGCTCTTACTTACCGGCATGTTCAACGATTAATTTAACTTGATTGAGAAACCCTTGAGTCCAACCATGCCTAAAATACATAGCTAAGAATGTTAATAGTTCAATGACTACTTATTTTGATTTTGGTGGAAAAAGATTGGCGGGATTTTGAGCTTGGCCATGGATTGATTTATCTAGCCACTGAAAATGTGGACGTTAGCTTCAAAAACCTGGCTTGCTTCCAAACTTTAATTTGAAAAAGTCTAATTTTACATTTCATCACCCATGAATTAATTTGGTAAATTGAAATTTTAGTTTATGACAAGTTTAGTTTAGGAATTCCGAAAGCAATTCTTTGATTTGAAATCACCATCTAAAATAATTTTAAAAATTGTCAAGTTTATAGTCTTACTGTATTTCTTGATGCACTATTTTGCTTTTGATGAAAAACGGAAATCTGATCTGAAAATGTATTACAAAAATAGGAAGAGGTATTGCTTTGTTGATGAAATAACTGTGATTGGATTATCTTATCCATGTGTACTATAAAACTTCATAAAAAACATTAGATGATTACTACCACATTCTATGATTTGCTGGGCTGTAATTATCCACTCATTTACATCGACCATCTACATAAGTGAGGCCAACAAGTGATAACACATATACCATCTCCCTAACTAATTTCTCCACTCGCGAGCTGTGTGGTTCGCGATGTGGGAACTCGATGCGCGAGTGGAGGGATAAGTTTGGGAGAGATAAACTGGTGGTTCGCGACTTAAGAACCGATGATATTCGCGTTCTGAGAAAGTGGTCCGGGTGGAAGGAACGAGGTCAGCGACGACCACGTACGTGAGTCGAAGTCTAAGAGGCTTGTTTAATTTCACCATAGACAATCATGGTCAACGTACGCCCCCCCCCCCCCGCGGCCGCCTTGTGTCTGCCTAAGTAGTTTTCAATATCTAGGATAATCCCACATTTGTGGCAAAGTGAGCACTTCGAATCTTAAATTACCGAAATGTACATGAAGCTTGAAATGTTGACAACCCAAATGGCTCTGATTCTTACTTTGACAAATAAAAATAACTAGCATATTAAAATATCTTTTAATTATTCAAATGCCACCCATTTTTCCTACCTTAAAGGTGAATGTAAATATACACATTTAACATTAAGGCAGGCAGAGTGGGATGACTCTGGGACTGTAAATGCCATTGGTATACGCAATTACTAAAATATAGTGTATATACAAATCTCTCTGCACATAACAATTATTTACCATTCGATCATACGCCAATCCAGAATTTCACGATGTATTTGTGAAACAAGTTTTTGATTTTTGACTGGTACGTGATCCCTACTGTATACACTTAGAATCGCACAACAGGTTCAAATATGTATATTGTGTTTTTTTTATTCTTACTGCAATCGAATATATACAACCAGATGTATAAAATCAGATATATACAACCATATGTTTACTATCAGATTGTACAACCATATGTATACTATCAGATATATACAAACATATGTATACAATCAGATGTACAACCAGATGTATACCATCAGATATATAAAACCAGATGTATACCATCAGATATATACAACCAGATGTATACTATCAGATATATACAACTAGATGTATAAAATCAGATATAAACAATCAGATGTATACAGTACTATCAGATTATACAACCAGATGTTTACTATCAGATTGTACAACCAGATGTATACAATCAGATATATACAACCAGATGTATACCATCAGATATAAACAATCAGATGTATACAGTACTATCAGATTGTACAACCAGATGTATACAATCAGATATATACAACCAGATGTATACCATCAGATATATATACAATCAAATGTATACAGTACTATCAGATTGTACAACCAGATGTTTACTATCAGATTGTACAACCAGATGTATACCATCAGATATACTGTATACAACCAGTTACTGTATACAGCTAGATGTATACCATCAGATATATACAACCAGATGTACACCATCAGATATATACAACCAGATGTATACCATCAGATATACTGTATAAAAAAGATGTATACCATCAGATATATACAACCATATGTATACCATCGGATATATACAGCCAGATGTATACCATCAGATATACTGTATACAACCAGATGTATACCATCAGATATATTCAACCCCAGATGTATACTATCAGATACAGTATACTGTAAACAACCAGATGTATACCATCAGATGTATACAACCAGATACATATTTATACCATCAGATATATTCAACCAAATGTATACCATCAGATATACACAACCAGTTATATACCATCAGATGCATGTATGTACAAACCAGATGTATACCATCATATATATACAACCAAATGTATACCATTATATAATATATACTAACTCGAGTATGAATATAGTGTACAGAATATCGATCATATAAACTGTGAAATACAGGGTGACAAAGTCCCCCCCCCCTCTACAGCCAAAACCTTAATAGATGGTACTTAGTGTGATATACCATTGGAAAGACCATTCTAAGTTACGTTAACTCACCTACTCTCAACTATTTAGGATGAAATTTATCTATATTTTCATAATATCCTTTATAGTTAGAGTGCCCTCCTCAAGTGGCCTTTTTGCATAAAAATGAGAAGATTTCGACCTCAAAAATATATCAAAAAGCTCATTTTTTCGCATTACACTTGTTACAAAAGTGTTTTAGACACTATCCTTGCCCATTTATTTATCTACATATCTAACACTATCTAGAAATTGGTTCAATTTACAGCCATACACATATGTTGTCATCTTGGGCTCCTTTGACCTTTCTGATGCCCGATTCTTAAAATCCTGCCAAATACGTCAAATTGCCATGTTTCTTGGTCTATGATCACCTCAATTGATACAATGTAGCAATTTATGACATTGATTGACAGGTATCTGCTATATGTCAATCAACGTAACTTTCAGGACAATCTTTCTAATGATATATCACACTTGATACCATATATCTTGGTTTTGGCTGTAGAGGGGGACGGGACTTATTTGACATCCTGTATATAATGTATATGACGATAATCAATAAATTCTATGTTATGGCTCAATAAATTATTTCTTCTTATTCTTTTATATAATATTTTCTTGTTAATCTTTCATACTTTTGAATACAGGGTGACACAAAAAAGACACCCACCTTACATTGCATAACTTGTTTGACCATTAACACCTTTGGCATATTGAAAGAAATGCGAGAGGGTAACTGGTCAAGTCAACCCCAAGTCAACTGAACCAAAGTCAAGCCAAACCTTAGTCAAGTCAACCCCAAGTCAAGTCAACTCCAAGTCATCTCAACCCTTAGTCGACTCGACCCCAAGTCATCTCAACCCTTTTTTTTTTTTATTAATATTCATTATTTATTTCTCACACTATAAATTTACATACATGTGCATACATTGGTGATAGTAAAGACAATTTGATAATATAGAGTTAAGGCACATAACAGTTACATGATCTCATTTCGAATAAAAAAAAGCAAAAAAGATACACAGTACAGACAGCAAAAATAATAAAATAATAAAATACAGGTTTGTGCAACGATACATTGTTGTAATTAAAATGGTATGTCTAATTTATTCAGTATTGAGTTCCATTTCCCGATAAAAAGTTGCCGGTTTTTGTTTTCTGTAGATATTTTTAATTCATCTTTAATTTTGTTTCTTAAAGTATTTTTAAAACCGTTCACACTAATGTCGTAGTTTCCAATTTTGGAGTTGTGAATGTAGTTTTTCGCGTATAGCAAACAATAATTTAGAATTGTATCGCGATCGTCACAGTTGCCTATTTTTCCTAATAATATATCCCGGTCTCTCAAAAGTATATTGTCAAATAGGACGGATATTTCATTCCAAAAGTTCGCGACTGTCGCGCATTCTATATAGAAGTGTTGGGTGTCATCTACTGCACCACGATTGCATTTATCACATAGATTAGACTCTTTAATTTTTCTGTTGAACAGAAATAAGTTACAAGGGGTGAGGTTAAGTAGTAGTTTGTATTGGAAACTTTGGATTTTTGGCTCTCGCGCAACTTGAAAAGGTAGTCTAAAAATAGATTTCCACTCTTGTTCTGTCAGGTCAAATTTTTCATTGAAATATCGTTTTCCTACGGGTTCCTTAAATTTGTTTTGTACGATGTGCCAATATATTCTTTTGGTACTAATATGTTTGATATTTATAATTGCATTTTTGATTTGTAAGTCATCAACTCCTAGTGTATTGATATTATCATTTTCGTTTTTTAAGAGAGTTTTCCACGAGCGTGGAATTGCGTGTATTATGCCGTAGTATGTTACGAAGGGTGTCAAGATATCATATTTTAGGGTGAATTCTTCGTATCCTAGAAAATCTCCATTTTCATTTATTAAATCTTTTACTTTAAATATGTTTCGAGCTTTCCAATCAGGGTAGTTGACACTTTCATTATTAATTGTTAACCATTTATTGTTCCAAATTGATTCATTCATAACGGTGGACTTGTCATAAGGTTCGGCATTGTGAATTAAGCTCCAGGTTTTCATCATCGAGAGATAAAAAGCAGGTAAGTTGTTAAAAGTATGCTCTTTGAACTTTGCATGAAAGATTTCTTTAGATTCGAGATTTGGGAATTCTTTATAGAAAAAATGTTTCCATTTAGACTCGTTTTTATTATACAGACGTTTCACCCATTGAATTTGTAATGCTTTAATCTGTGCGTCAAAAAGAACGGATTTGATTCCCCCGTTTTCTATTTCTCCTATCGTAGTAGAATTACTTATCAGAGGTGGCTTTCCATTCCATAAAAATGAGTTAATAAGTTGTTGAACTTGTTCAATGATGTGGTTTGGAACAATAATGGTGGATGCTAGATACATTAATTTTGATATTGCAAGAGCTTTTATTATGACGTTTTTTCCTATAAGGCTTAGGTTTCTCCAGGTCCATATCTTAAAGAGGTTCTCAATTGCTTTCACTTTTGAGGAAAAGTTTAGAGCATTTCTTTCATTTAGATCCTGACTGAACCAAATGCCCAAGGTACATAATTTATCGTTATTTATGTGTAATTTAGATAGAAGACTTCCGGGTGGTATGAAAGGAGGATTGATTTTATAAGGTCCTAGCCATCTACCCTCAGTTTTAGTTAAATTTGGTTTTAGCCCCGAGATTTGTGAGAATGAGTTTAAACAATTTAGTGCACGTTCTGAAGAGTCTATAGAATCCAAGAATAGAGTAGTGTCGTCTGCGAACATGGATATTTTGATTTCGGTGTTATTTGCCTGTATACCTTTTATGTTTTTATTTTGTCTGATCGATATTGCTAGAAGTTCGGCTACAATGATAAATAGGTAAGCCGATAGGGGGCAGCCTTGGCGGACTCCCCTTGCCGGGAAAAACATATTTGATTGAAATCCATTATTTGATACACACGATTGTATATTTTTATAGAAAGTTTTGACCCATTTGACCAAAGTTTCACCAAAATTAAAAAGATTCAATGCTTTTTCAATGCATTTCCAATTAATGGAATCAAAAGCTTTTTCGAAGTCAATTTGTAGTAAGATACCAGAAATGTTCTCATTTGATGTATAATTTATCATATCTTCGATTAATCTGATATTTTCTCCTATATACCTTCCTTCAATGTAAGCAGTTTGGTCAAAATCGATTATAGATGGTAGTACTTTTCTAATTCTATTAGCTATTGCTTTAGTACCAATTTTATAATCTGTATTCAACCCTTGGTCAACTCAACCCTTAGTCAACTCGACCCCACCATATTTAAATATTGATGGATTTTGAAAGAAATTTGGAAAAATTAGATGGATATGAATAAAATGTTAAGTGATTTTCCGAATCTATAGATTTCAAAAAAGTTA